CTGAGATATTGGAACACTGCTATCCTGTCCCCCTCGTCCTTCTCTTTGTTAAACCAGACATACCCAATTCCAGCAACCGTTCCTGCTATGTTTTAGCCTCCAGTCCCCTGATCATCTTTGTTGTGCTTCTCTTCACTCTTTCTAGAGTCTCAACATCTTTTTTACATCATGGTGACCAAAACTGGATGCCGTATTCCAAGTGTGGCCTTACCAAGGCATTGTAAAGTGGTATTAGTACTTCACGTGATCTTGATTTTATCCCTCTGTTAATGCAGCCTAGCACTGTATTGGCTTTTTTTAGCAGCTGCAGCACACGGCTGGCTCATATCTAAGTGACTTCAAAAGACCTGGGTTTGTTTGTGGAAATAAGCTCTTCTTCCTTCTCCTCCTTAATTCCAGGCCCCCAACTAATATTCATTCTTCAGGGTTTTTTTTAACCCAGATTATCTCTGAAGTATCTCTAAACTAATTCAATTTATTTCTAGGAAATGACAAAGACTCCCAGAATAACAGATCAACGTCTCCTAAGAGGGAAAAAAAGAACCATCTGGGGTACACCAAAATTCTTTCCACATCCCTGATGGAAGTAATTCATCAAGTCTCCATTATACCCATTAAATTATATTTCTCTTCCTGTACTCAAAGTAGAAGCTCATCTCATTTATTTCCCATTCTTTGAGCTTTATCGTATAAACTGTGTACTTTATGAGCAGAGTTCTTGCTAATTATTTTTTATGGAACGTATAATAGATCTCATAAGAGCAACACACAGTAAGCACTCTGAGGAAACCATGTGTCGAAGGATCTGTATGGCATAGGCTGGTTATACATCTAAGCAAGCAAGAACAGAGGGGAAAAAAACACCAGCAACATCAAAATTAGGAGATAATACTTTAATTCCAAGAATTAATTTAGTGAGGCACAGACATCCAAGAAACAGAAGCTTATTGAACTAGCATTGAGCAGGCAATGAAATAGTCAAGCAAAAAATAATAATAATTGTGTGCAAGCAGGTCCCTAAGAAGCACAGAGACTCGGTTAAAGATGTGGAATTTAGTTCTAAAATTCAGCTTGAAGGGAAGATAGAGAGGTGAAACTGGAAAGAAAAACTGGAGGAGAGAGAAGATTGAAAAGATGCTTCTCCTGAGACTGCCACAGCAATGCTCCCCAAATTTTTCCTTCGTTACTCAAAAAATATCTGAAAGTCTTATGCATTTCGAAGCTCCTTCCTTCAGCACTGTCATAACTTCAAAAAATTGCTGAATGAATGTAACGCGAGGACTTACCTGTACTGATTGCCTAGCTGCTAATTCAGGATTTCACTTTCTAGTTTACAGGCAGTCCTCGACTACTGCTCAATAGTAGTAACTGTGAGAGGGATCTCGGAGTCCTTTCAAAAGCCAATAGAATAAAAGGGAGTAGCACAGCTAAGGAAAAGGGGGAAAAATGGCGGACTGCATTGTTTGGCGACCCCCGTGAAATGGTCGTTCGACCCCAAATGGGGTCCCGACCCACAGGTTGAGAACCACTGATTTAATTGCTCATCTTCATAAAAAAGAATCAGTGGGTTTTCTGTACCTCCTTCCTATAGGAAATTGATTGACAGTAAATGAATGCCAATGGAATTCAAAATGAGTTCCACATTTGCCTGTTTTTCCTTCAGCTAGGTTTCCTGAAATCTATGTTCCTTCCTTCCTTCCTTCCTTCCTTCCTTCCTTCCTTCCTTCCTTCCTTCCTTCCTTCCTTCCTTCCTTCCTTCTTTCCTCCCTCCCTCCCTCCCTCCCTCCCTCCCTCCCTCCCTCCGTGCCAGTGTAACTTGGAATGGTTGCTAAACAAATGGTTGAAAGTTGAGAACTACCAGTTGCAGCTTGTCCCACATTAGAAGACTGTGCCTTTAAAAAAAAAAGTGCATGCACTTTCCATAAAGAAAACAGAACCGTAGCATGAATTATTATTATTATTTTAAAAATAGTGAAAATATTTCTTGTAATATCAGTTTGGCTGCTACATGCGCCAAGGAATGGATGTGTGTGTGCCCCAGCTACCTCTTCCATAGAATTTTTAAACATTAATTATGTGCTGCGAAATTGCTTTTGAACTCCTAGCAACCCCATAGATTTTTCTCCAGGACGATCGAACCCTAAGCTGTTCTTTCAAATCTCCCAAGGGTGAAATTCAAACTGGCACTCAAACTGAGTCTATTCATCTCGCTGCTGGGCATCCTGTTGTTCTTCTCTTTTCTTCTTCCTCTGTCTTGCAGAACTAGAATCGCCATTCTTAAAATAGAATTTCTGTTTTAAAAGTGACATTAGGCAGAAGTTGGAATTTGCATTCTTTTCCCTCTTTGCAATTCTCCTGTCTGGAAAAGCTGCATCTCTTGCTGGATGAACATCGGGGACGATTTTTTGTACTGTAGAAAAATGTTGCCTTTGTCTAAATCAGGGGTAGGCAACCTTGGCTCTTTTATGACTCGTGGACTTCAACTCCCAGAATTCCTGAGCCAGCCATGCTGAGGGGAAAGGGAGAGTTTCCAAGTTGAGCCATGCTGACTCAGGAATTCTGGGAGTTGAAGTCCACGAGTCATGGAGGGGCCATAGTTCCCCCATGTTGGCTCAGGAATTCTGGGAGTTGAAGTCCACGAATCATAAGAGCCAAGATTGCCTACCTCTGGCCTAGGCCGCTTTATGACTCGTGGACTTCAACTCCCAGAATTCCTGAGCCAGCCATGCCATCAAAAATATGAGTCAGCTGACAGGCATCTGACTTTTCACCATGTGACCGTGGTGATGCTGCAATGGTCATTTAAGGCTGAAAATGGTCATAAGTTACTTTTTTCAGTACTGCTGTAACTTTGGTCACTAAATGAATTGTTGTAAGTTGAGGACCTTCTGTATCGAGTCCTTCCCAAGGACCTGGGATAGGCAGATGTTGTTGCTTGATGTAGTAATAATAATAATAATAATAATAATAATAATAATAAAAAGTTGGAAGGGACTTTGGAGGTCATCTAGTCCAACTCCCTGCTCAGGCAGGAAACCCTATAACCGTGGTGGCAAACTTATGGCACGTGTACCACAGGTCGCACGCAGAGCCCTCTCTATGGGCACGCACACCGTCGCCCCAGTCCTAGGCCTTCAGCTGGGTTTTATAAAACCTTTTTGCTTTAGGTCTCCACCACCATTTGCAAAAAAAAAAAAAAAAGTTTCAATCTATCAATCAATTTCAACTTCTAACAGGAAAAAATAAGATCTCGCAAAGTTGGAATTGATTGATTGAATTTTTTAGTCCCACCTAGTCTGACTTTACCACCACAGCCACGCCCACCCAATGGGCCACACCCCCAATGGGCCACGCCCACCTGGCACCCGACAATACATAAATGGGTTTGGGGCTGTGGTTTGGGCACTCAGTCTCTAAAAGGTTCGCCATCACTGCCCTATAACATTTCAGACAAATGGCTGTCCAGTCTCTTCTTAAAAACTTCCAGTGTTGGAGCATTCACTGCTTCTGGAGGCAGGTGGTTCCACTGGTTAATTGTTCTCACTGCCAGGAAGTTTCTCCTTAGTTCTAGGTTGCTTCTCTCCTTGATTAATTTCCACCCGTTGCTTCTTGTCCTACCTTCAGGCGCTGCTTTGGAGAATAGCTTGATTCCCTCTTCTTTGTGGCAGCCCCTGAGATATTGGAACACTGCTATCATTATTATTATTTCTTACATTTATGAATTTTCCGATGGGCAAGTCTCTGCTTTGCTGGGTATGGAAAGTCCCAGAACAGAGAGTAAGACGTCAAAAACTGATTTATGATGGAGAGCGATATCAAAAGGTCAAGTCCAACTCTCTCTTCTTCTGTTTCTCAGCCGATATACGGAGCCTGGTTTCCCAAACAAGAACAACAACAATTTTCAGTACTAACCAACTCCCTCTTCTGAATATCAAAGTAATACCGGTATAGTTTAAAATGGATTCTGTAATAGGTATGCAGGCGGTCCTCAACTTACCACCACTTCTGAGCCCAAGATTTTTTGTTGCTAAGCAAGACAGTTGTCGGTTGGGTTTTGCCCCATTTTATAACCTTCCTTGCCACAATTGTTATGCAAATCACTGTGATGGTTCAGTGAATCATGGAGGTTGCTAAACAAACCTGGCTTCCCCCACTGACCCTGCTTGTTGGAAGCCGGCTGGCAAGGTGAGAAATGGTGATGACGTGATCCCAGGAGAGGGCAAACTGCCATAAATACAGACTGGCTGCCAAGTGATCTCATGACCCTGGGGATGCTCCAATGGTCGTTAAGTGTGAAAACCGGTCGTAAGTCACCTTTTTCAGTGCCGTTGTAACTTCGAGCTGTCCGTAAGCCCCAAAGTGGTAGTAAGTCGAGGACTACCTACATACAGGGAGTTTGCCTATCAAACTACAATTCCCAGAGTTCCCCTTGGAAAATAGGGGCTATTTCCTATACCAGGGGTAGGCAACCTTGGCTCTTTTATGACTCGTGGACTTCAACTCCCAGAATTCCTGTGCCAGCTAGGCTGAGGGGAAAGGGAGAGGTTTCCAAGCTGAGCCATGCTGGCTCAGGAATTCTGGGAGTTGAAGTCCACGAGTCATGAAGGGGCCATAGTTCCCCCATGCTGGCTCAGGAATTCTGGGAGTTGAAGTCTACCCATCTCCCAGTGGCCAAGGTTGAAAAATACAGGCCTAGGCCAGGGATAGGCAACCTTGGCTCTTTTAGGACTCGTGAATTTCAACTCCCAGAATTCCTGAGCCAGCCATGCTGAGGGGAAAGGGAGAGGTTTCCAAGCTGAGCCAGACTGGCTCAGGAATTCTGGGAGTTGAAGTCCACGAATCATAAAAGAGCCAAGGTTGCCTACCCCTGTCCAATACTTTTCCAAATCTCTTCACGTGGGCAGCTACAGGATAGGATCTGAAATGGCTTTGAGACTGCAATAGTTTTATTTTTGTGTCTTCCGCTACAGCGTTATTTTCACATTTTTTTCTCCCTTCAGATGGTGGAGTATAAGCGAGCGATGTTTCAAGAAGATGAAGTCCTGGACGCCCCTGGGGACGGGAGCAACACCTCTCCAGACAGCATAGAGGTAGGGCGAATGGCAGAAGGTACAGCCTCAACCTACAACCATTCATTTAGCGACGGTTCACAGCTGCGACGGCACTGAAAAAAGTGACTGGTGACGGTTTTTCACACTTACAACCGTTGCAGCATCCCCACATTCACGTGATCAGAACTCAGGCCCTTGGCAGCTGGCTGGTGTTTAGGAAAGTTGCCGTGTCCCGGGGTCATAGGATCACCCTTTGTGACCTTCCCCTCTGGCTTCCAACCAGCAAAGTCAATAGGGGAAGCCAGACTGCATGATTCACTTAACAACCGCAGGGATTCGCTTAACAATTGTGGGAAAAGAGGTTGTAAAATGGGGCACACTCCGTTGTGGTCTTAATGTGGTTCGAGGACTATCTGTACTTCAGGGATTTGACACCCCCCCCCCCAGCCTGAGAGGCTGTTAGGTTGCTGCAGTGTGATCTTTACACACCCCGTGTGTTCTCAGAAGTGCCTCTGATGGTGCTTGGCAACACAGTTATTGCATTAAAGTAATAAACCCATCACTGTCTGGACGGCCTACATAATTGCAGCATGAAAAAGCTTGTAAAGCATGAATGGAAGGGGAAGAAAGAGAGTTAAGAATAGCTTGTTCAAAAAAAAAAGCTGGCATAAAGGATACGAGCTCTGAAGTCACCCAATTTATGACTGTGACTTTATTCCTTAGCAAGAATTGTTTTATGGGGCAGTCATAAATAATTCTGTATTGCCAGTGGCAGAAGTTTCATTTTGGATGCGGCTGGGTTCAGTGTGACATGATTAAAAAGGAAGCTAAACGTATCGTGCCTGTTGCCCTTTAAGCGAGGGCTTGTGCTAAGCGGTTTAAAGGCAAAAGGACAAATCACTTGAGCTTAAAAAAGGCAATCTAGAGCAGACATGTCAAACGCAAGGCCCGGGGGACGGATGCAGCCCGCAAAGTAGTTTCATGTGGCCCGCGAAGCCATCCTGGAAACAGTGAGGGAACGGCCCCCGCTGCCTTGGCCCTGGCCCAGGCCAGCCGGGAGCCAACGTACAATTTTGTGGTGGCCATCTTGGCACTTGCCCTGGTGGACTATGCCTTGGTGCTTGCCCCAGTCCCACCCCCTTCTGCCAGAGACCCTCAGATCTGGCCCACTCCTGCCCAGGCCCCCACAGGCACCCTTGATGCGAACGATGTAGAGCTGGCCATGCCCACCCAGTAGGCCATACCCACTCCATCCACACCCACCCAATAGGCTGCATCCACTCTGGCCACACACCCCTGCCCCCCCGGGCAACCGCAATGCTGATGCGGCCCTCAGTGAAATTGAGTTTGACACCCCTGCTCTAGAGTTTCACTAAGGATGGGAAGCCTCTCCTGAGATACAGATAGTCCTCAACTTACAACAGTGACGGTTTGAAGCTACAAGGGCACTTATGACCATTTTTCACACTTACGACCGTTGCAGCATCCCCATGGCCCTATGATTTACATTCGGATGCTTGACGATTGGTTCATATTTATGACCCTGGGGGTCACGTGATCCCCCTTTGCATCCTTCTGACAAGCAAAGTCAATGGGGAAAATCCAGATCCACTTAACAACCATGCTACTATCTTAACAACTGCAGCGATTCACTTAACAATTGTGCAAGAAAGGTCATAAAATGGAGCAAAACTCACTTAATACATTTTTCACTTAGCACCGTAAATTCTTGCCTCTGTTGTGGTCATACGTCAAGGACTACCTGTACTGTTTTTACGAAGCTTAAAGCTGCATTTGGCAAAAACATAGGTGGCAGCAAACTGTAAGTAGTTCTCAGTGTGCAACCGTAACAGAGCCCAAAAATTCTGCTGCTCAGAAAAGCAGTTATTAAATGAGTTTTGCCCCATTTTACAATCTTTTGTGCCGCCGTTGTTAAGCGAATCACTGCAGTTGTTAAATGAATGACGCATTCATTAAGCGAATACAGCTTCCCTGTTGATTTTTTTGCTTGCCCAAAGCCGGTTGGAAAGGTCACCTGTGGTGATCACATGACCCCGGGACAGTACAACAGTCATAAATACATGCCAGTTGCCAAGCGCTTGAATTTTGATCATGTGACCACGGGGATGCTGCAGTGGGCGTAAGTTTGACAATGGTCATAAGTCCCTTTTTTCATTGCTGTTGTAACTTCAAACAGTCACTAAGCAAATAGTTGTATAAGTTGAGGACTACCTGTACCCTGTCAATCACTGATTGGGTTTCTAGGTCTTAAGAAGCCCTAATAAAGCTTGTTTGATGCTTGGTTTAGCCCAGGGGTAGGCAACCTTGGCTCTTTTATGACTGGTGGACTTCAACTCCCAGAATTCCTGAGCCAGCCATGCTGAAGGGAAAGGGAGAGGTTTCCAAGCTGAGCCATGCTGGCTCAGGAATTCTGGGAGTTGAAGTCCACGAGTCATGAAGCTGCCTAGGCCTAGGCCAGAGGTAGGCAACCTTGGCTCTTTCATGACTCGTGGACTTCAACTCCCAGAATTCCTGAGCCAGCCTGGCTCAGCTTGGAAACCTGTCCCTTTCCCCTCAGCATGGCTGGCTCAGGAATTCTGGGAGTTGAAGTCCATGAGTCTTAAAAGAGCCAAAGTTGCCTACCCCTGCCCTAACTGGTGCTCAGCCATGTGAGGATCTGGATTTCAAATTGTGCATAGAGTTTTATTATTTCCTTAAAATTTTATGATAAATTTGCCTATCCCTCTAGGAATAGAAGGGGCCCATACTGTGCTGGCTGGGTTATCCAATATACCTTCTAGGCCAGGGGTAGGCAACCTTGGCTCTTTTATGACTGATGGACTTCAACTCCCAGAATTCCTGAGCCAGCCATGCTGAGGAGAAATGGAGAGGTTTCCAAGCTGAGCCATGCTGGCTGAGGAATTCTGGGAGTTGAAGTCCACAAGTCATAAAAGAGCCAAGGTTGCCTCCCCCTGGTTTAGCCTGTTATTCAGAGCTCCGATTACCAGTTATGTGTTTGGACTGAATATATTGGGAGAATACAGATTTAAATTTAAATTTAAATCCAAAACATTTCAGTCCAACAGTGATGGAAAAAAAACAAACCATAGCTTAGCGTGGGGAATGAAGTATGTCAGTGTTTCTCAACGTGGGCACCTTTAAGAGAGGTGGGGAATTCTGGGAGTTGAAGTCCACTCGTCTTAAAGCAGCTACGGTTGAGAAACCGTGAAGCATGTTAGTAGACTGGTACTTTAATATATCCCATCTCCCGTTTCTTTTCTCTTTCCTCTTTGATTCTTGTTGCTTGCTTCTTCGGCTTTCCAGGTGGGCTTCCGAAAAGGTGATGGCCTCTTCCTGAGTCGCCTTGGCTCCCAAATCCAGCTGAAGTTGGTCTTCTGGGTGATTTCCCTCTTTGTGGCTGTTCTGCTTCTGAGTACAATCATAGCCATGGCCATCCAGTACAGTAAAGGTACGTCAAGACCAGCGGCAGGTTGACCACCTTCCCATGGACCTTATTCTCCCTTCTGCAGGCAGTCCTCGACTTAACAACCATGCGTTTAGTTACCAGCACTGAAAAAAGTGCCTAATAATAATAATAATAATAATAATAATAATAATAAAGTTGGAAGAGACCTTGGAGGTCATCTAGTCCAACCCCCTGCTCAGGCAGGAAACCCTATACCAGTGGTGGCGAACCTATGGCATGGGTGCCAGAGGCGGCACTCAGAGCCCTCTCTGTGGGCACGTGCGCTGTGCACGTGCGCCGTCGTCACAGTCCCAGGCCTTCAGCTGGGTTTTATAAAATCTTTTCGCTTTAGGCCTCTGTCACCGTGTGCAAAAAAAAAAAAAGGTTCAATCAATTAGTCAATTTCAACTTCTCGCGGGAAAAAAAAGGATCTTGCAAAGTTGGAATTGATTAATTGAACTTTTTAGTCTCACCAAGTCTGGCGTTAACCACCGGAGCCACACCCACCCAATGGGCCACATCCAGCCAATGGCCATACCCACCAGGCACCCGACGATGCATAAGTGGGTTTTGAGTTGCAGTTTGGGCACTCGGTCTCTAAAAGGTTCGCCATCACTGGACTATACCATTTCGGACAAATGGCCTTCCAGTCTCTTCTTAAAAACTTCCACTGTTGGGGCATTCACCGCTTCTGGAGGCAGGTTGTTCCACTGGTTAATTCTTCTAACTGTCAGGAAGTTTCTCCTTAGTTCTAGGTTGCTTATGATCACTGTTCACACTTTGCAGCATTCCCATGGCCACATGATCAAATATTCAGATGCTTGGCAACTCCTATTTATGACTGAGCCCTGGGGCCGTGTGATCCCCTTTGGCGACCATCGGACAAGCAAAGTCAATGGGGAACCCAGATTCACGCAAGAACCGTATTGCTGATTTAACAACTGCATGAATTCACTGAACAACTGCGGCAAGAAAAGTCGTAAAGTGGGGCCAAAATCACTTCATCGCTGTCTCGCTTAGCAATGGAAATTTTGGGCTCAGTTGTGGTCATAAGTGGAGGACTCCCTGTATCTCCTTCAGACCGGAGCATCCAGGGCACCCAAATAGTCTGATCCTGGTCAGAAAGGAAGTACCAGAGCAAGGAAGGTGCAGAATGAAAAAGACTTGGAAGCTTCTCCCATTGGTAGATTCCATTCAGCTGATCACCGATCTGTGCGTCGGTGAAATGACCTGTTGATTACAGAGAAGCACAGCTGGTCCTTGACTGATGGCCACAAGTATCAAATTTCTATGGGTCAGCAGAGTTTTGTCCCGTTTTACAACCTTTCTTGCCACCGTCGTTAAGTGAATCACTACAGCTGTTCAGTTAGCAACGTAGTTGTTAAGCGACTCCAACTTCCCGTTTGACTTTGCATGTCAGAAGGTTGCGAAAGAGGATCACGTGACCCCCCCCCAGGACGGTGCAGCCGTCGTAAATATGAACCAGTTGCCAAGGGTCTGAATTTTGATCGCGTGACCATGGGGATGCTGCGACGGTCGTGTGAACAACAGCCACAGGTGACTTTTTCCAGTGCTTGTATAACTTCAAACGGTCACTAAATGAACTGTTACAAGTCAAGGACTACCTGTATGCTCCTTTTCTATCAGATCGTGGCCAGGACTGTTGTTGCTGATGGCGTAACGTGAAGCCTCCATTTGCAATGTAGCAAAGGAGTGCTTCAGAGCCTTAGGCAAGGAAAAGCAAAATGCTGCAAACAGAATATCTGCCTGTCTCCTTGGGGCTTCCGTTGAGACCCTCCGTAACTCGCTCTCCCCCACCTGCTGTGCTTCAGGGCTCAGGACCAGCTTTCAAGAGGCCTTTTCGAGCTGGCTGGGAACCAGTGTGGGGGAACACACTCACAACCGTTTTCAGTGAGACAATAGCTTCCCAGCCATCAAAGATGAGCGGGTAATCCACACGTAATGACAAGAGGGCACACAAAGAATTCTTTGTTAGGCCCCTGGCTGTATTGAGCACAACATAGCCAAGTTCTGCTTAAGCTCTTTCACACATGTACACACACACACACACAAAACCATCCCTTTCGCTCTTAACATATTCACCCTCCCTCACCAGGAGCAGGAGGGGGACTGTTTGGGAGACAAAATGTGGCCTCAGAAGTTGTTCGTTCACATGTTGTTTCTCCCAAGAAGCTTCTGTTGTGCCTTCACAGCACCCTTTGTCCTTTCCACCTGAGCTGTGCCTTATGGTTATGCAGGCAGCCCCTCCCACTGCTGATGTTACGTAGTTAAGGTAATGAAACCTCTGCAAGAAAACAAGCAAGCTCAGAGAGCACTGAGGACCCCCCCCCTTACAACCATATGTTTAGTGACCGTAGATAACAGCGCTAAAAGTAAGGTGACCAATTGTCCTCCTTTAGGGAGGACAGTCCTCCTTTTGTAAGTTCTATCCTCTCTCGAAAAGTGTCCTCCTACATGTCCTCCTTTTTGATATTTGAAGACTAATCTGTAAATCTCTGTATTCGATCGATGCCGAGCCGATCTGTTGCGTGTGATGTGACGTATTTGTATTTGACATGACGATTCGTCAAGGCTCGGTACAGTGCGGCGAGACGTGATTATGAGACGCAAACACTCCGCACAGAATTGTTTTGAGAGAGTGCGTCGCGCGCAAGAGTGCGCCGTGAGCAAGTGGCTTTGTTTACTTCTTACTGAAACATGACACGGCACGCACGCACGCGTTAGACTCACTTTTTTTTCTTCAATTTATTTGTGTCCTCCTTCTCATTGCAAAAAAGTTGGTCACCTTACTAAAAGTGATTTACGACCGTTTTTCATACTTACGACCATTTCAGCCTCCCCAAGGTCACGTGATCCAAATTCAGGCACTTGGCAACTGGCTCGTATTTATTTTTGTCCTGGGATTATGTGATTCCCACTATGCCTGTCATCCAAGGACCTGCATAATAATACCCCTTTTCTTGTGCTCCTGTTAGTGGTAATAAGTGCTTTAAATTCAGATGTATTTACTTATTAAATTTCTAGGCTGCCCATCTTGCAGTTCGAGGTGACTCCGGTTGGCTTACTATACAATAAAACACAGGAATATCAAAACAGTTACAAATATATAAATATTTACATATTTGAGTACAAAACATTACAAACTATTAAATTGTCCTTCTCTCATCTTTTTATAAAGGGGGGGGGCGGCTTTTTCCTATTTTGCGGGACCTGTGCTAAGTTTTGAACTTTTTCGAAATATTCCCAAGACGTCTCCTTTATGTGTTTGCAAAGTTGGCAATAAAGAGGCACGGAATAGGATACGTTTGAAGTTTTCCTTTGAAAATGGTCTGAAGTCATCAACTACCTAAAGCAGGGGTAGGCAACCTGGGCTCTTTTATGACTCGTGGACTTCAACTCCCAGAATTCCTGAGCCAGCCATGCTGAGGAAAAAGGGAGAGGTTTCCAAGCTGAGCCAAGCTGACTCAGGAATTCTGGGAGTTGAAGTCTACGAGTCATGAAGGGGCCATAGTTCCCCCATGCTGGCTCAGGAATTCTGGGAGTTGAAGTCCACGAGTCATAAAAGAGCCCAGGTTGCCTATCCCTGACCTAAAGGTATCTTGAAAGCTAATCATGGTTCAATTTTTTTGCTTAGCTCCAGTAGCCCAGTTCTCAGGGACAGACTCTTTTATTACTAACAGTGGTGGTACAGTGGTTAGAATGGAGTATTGCAGGCTGACTCTGGCACCAGCCTGGAGTTTGATCCTGACCAGCTCAAGGTTGACTCAGCTTTCCATCCTTCTGAGGTCGGTAAGATGAGGTCCCAGATGGTTGGGAGCAATATACTGATATTTATAAACCACTCAAAGAGTGCTGTAAAAACACTATGGAGTGGCCTACAGGTAGTCCTCAATTTACAACAGTTCGCTTAGTTACAACAGCAGTGGAAAAAAATGACTTAGGACCGTTTTTCACACTTACGACCTGTTGGAACGTCCCCATAGTCACATGAGCAAAATTCAGATGCTTGGCAACTGACTCACATTTATGACGGTTGCAGTGTCCCTTGGGGGTCATATGATCCCCTTTTGCGACTTTCTGACAAGCAAAGCCAATGGGGGAAGCCAGATTCACTTAACAACCATGTTACTAACCTAACAACTGCAATAATTCACTTAACAAGTATAGCGAGAAAAGTTGTAAATTGGGGCAAAATTTGTTTAACAAATGTCTTGGTTAGCAGTAGAAATTTTGGGCTCAGTTGTGGTCGTAAGTCAAGGACTACCTGTATCAGTCTAAGTGCTATGACTGTTCTCTGGCCTTCCTTTTTTATACAAAGCAGCCTGCCCCCACCATCTGTGTCTGTCTTTCTGCTTGTGAAAATCCCTGAAGCGTTTATATTGTAAAGGGTTTCATGTCTCTACCGAAAGCCAGAGCGATTGCTGGGGTTTTGAAGCATATGCTAACAAAGGATGGTTTGTTTCTCCTCCAAGAAGCTGAAAGACAATTCCTAGTAATTAATGAATAAAGAAGCTAGCTGATTCTCTGCAGCACGATATCACTGGGCAAATAAGCAGTCTGTAGTGCTAAGTTTATCTGCTGTTTGTCAGTTTGTGGACATTTTAAATTGTGTCTGTAATTTACTTGTTTATATACATATAAACAAGTAACTCCATTTATTTATTTGGCCAAGTGTGGTTAGACACACAAGAAATTTGCCTCTGGTAGAGAAGAACCGAGCGTACCTGGAAAACAACAGAATATAATAATAATAATAAGCCTAAAGTGTACAGCCCATATAATGGGGAAATAAAAAATAATAAAGGGGATAAATAATAATATTGTGGCTACACACTATGGGTTAATATACGTACACATTAGGGGAGAAAAACCCCTTGGAGTCAAGTCTTTTATGGCGTCTCTTAAGGTGGCATCAATTTCAGTTGTTGGGTTTTGCATCAGGCTTCTTTGTTCATCTTGAAATTATGTCTGTCTCTTAAGACACTGATGTTTGATCATGGTCAGTTAGGAGCTCTCAAAAGAGGCTTCTTGGTTAACAAAGGTTTGGTCTCACCTTGGGCATTTTTACTTATTTAATGCTGCAAATATATTGGCAGACTTTGTTTAAAGTGGTATAAGGCCACAAATGGCTCCCTCTCTTTAGTTTTCAGACTCTACAGAAAGTCCTCAACTTACAACAGTTCATTTAGTGACCGTTCAAAGTTATAACGGCACTGAAAAAACTGACTTATGACCATTTTTCACAGTTACGACCTTTGCAGCATCCCCATGATCATGTGATCAAAATTCGGATGCTTGACAACTGGTTCACCTTTATGACGGTCGCAGTGTCCCAGGGTCATGTGATCCCTTTTGCGACCTTCTGACCAAGCAAAGTCAATGGGGGAAGCCAGATTCGCTTAACAACCGGGTTACTAACTTATCAACTGCTTTAATTCACTTAACAAGTGTGGCAAGAAAGGTCGTAAAATGGGGCAAAAACTCATTTAACAAATATCTCACTTAACAACAGAAATTTTGGGCTCAATTGTGATCGTAAGTCAAGGACAACTTGTATTTCCAAATACAAGTAATAAAGCGGTTTCATCAGCTTTGGTTTAACGTAGTGTCCAAATCCAGCCAGTTACTTTTGATTTGGTGAACCGTAATCTCCATGTTATCCCAAAGGTGCTTTTTCATGAGGCAACTGGACTTTCTTGTTTTTCTTTGAAGACGTTTCACTTCTCATCCAAGAAGCTTCTTCAGCTCCAGAAGCTTCTTCAGCTCACTCAAGAAGCTTCTTCAAGTTGAGAAAGCTTCTTGGATGAGAAGGGAAACATCTTCGGAAAAAAAACAGGAAAGTCCAGTTGCCTCGTGAAAAAGCACCTTTGGGTTAACTATGACTTGGATGACTAAAAAAATCTCCCTAGACATCATCTCCATGTGTTTCTTCTAGATCCCTTACATACAACTTGCCTTACTGAAGCCTGCGTCATTGTAGCTGGTAAGATCTTGGAAGCTTTGGATCCGGACGTCAAGCCCTGTGACGATTTTTACCAGTATGCCTGTGGGGGATGGATCAAGCGGAACCCACTGCCAGATGGGCGCTCCAAGTGGAGTACCTTCAACAGTATTTGGGACCAAAACCAGGCCATCATGAAGCACCTGTTGGGTAAGATATGGCTGCCCACAGACAGCATTGGAGGAGGTTTCTCCCTAATTCTTAGCTTGAGCAAAAGAAGCAGGTTCTGAATCCGTGTGGCTAAAGAAACTGAAGATAACGGCCAACATTTGACACCTCAGAGCTGGAGCATCGGGAAGAAAAGAAGGGTCTTGAGTTGAAGGCAGGAAAGCACATGGAGAAGGCCAGCACAACTGTTTTCTCTTCGGAGGATGAGAAGTGCAAGGCTAGATTTAGACTGAGGAAAATATGGGCATTGGATCTTATATAGAGGGCTTTTCACGGTCAGGGAATTGCGCAGCCGGCACCCAAGTGAAGTCAAACTTGTAGTTTGACGTAAATAAATATATTTTACATCTGTATTTACAGCCAACAAGCTAGTCAGGCAAACAGGAGCATCGTGAGGTAAATCACAGAGCAAACACGGCACACAGAAGAAAAAAGGCGGGAAAAAAGGGAAACTCCCCCTTCACACCCCCAGCAACCAATCAATGGCCTCATGCAGGAGCCAGTACTCTTCAACTAATCAGCTATAACTATGGGTTCTGGCTTGGTGCACAACCCATCAGTGCTCCAGCTACTAAATTTAAATATCTTAACATGGGGATTGGTTCTTATATTCTGAGGGCTTTTCATAGTCAGTGAATTGCGCAGTAGGTGTCCAAATGAAGTCAGAGAACCCAACAGGAAATTGGAGTTTTATATAAATAAATATATTTTATCTATATTTACAGCCAATAAGATCGTCAGGTAAACAGGAGCATCATGAGGTAAATCATAGAGCACACAGAACCCACAGAAAAAAAAGGCGGGAAAAAAGGGAAACACCTCCTCCACCCCCACAGCAACCAATCACAGTGCAGATTGCCTCACGCAGGAGCCAGCATACTCCAACCAATCAATACACAGTGTTCTAGCTCACTGCTCCAACTATTAGTTTAAATATCTTAACAATGGGCATTGGATCTTATCTATTGAGGGCTTTCCATGGTCAGGAAAGTTGATGAGTTGCCTTGATGGGCTGTTAATCTGCTTTCAATTATAGGTGGTCTTCAACTTAACGACCACAATTGGGACCAGAATTTCCATTGCTAAGCAAGGCAGTCATTAAGTGAGTTGTGCCTGATTTTGTGGCCTTTTTGGCCATAAGTGCTTAATTAAAGGATGCAGTTGTTAAGTGAATCCAACTTTCTCCATTGACTTTGCTTGTTGGAAGCCGTTGAGAAGGTCACAAATGGTGATCACATGACTAAACTTTGTAAATACATACCGTTGCTAACTGCCCAAAGTTTGTTCACATGAGTGTGAGGGGTGGTGCACTAGTCATAAGTATGAGAACCGGTCATAAGTTATTTTTGTCAGGGCTGTTATAACTTTGAATGGTCACTAAATAAGTCTTGGTAAGTCAAGGACTCCAACCATTCATTTAGTGACCCTTCAGAGTTACAACAGCACTGAAAAAAGTGACTTATGATTGCTTTTCACACTTATGACCATTGCAGCAGCCCCGTGGTCACATGATCAAAATTTTGATGTTTGGCAACTTGTATTTATGACAGCTCCAGAGCCCCAGAGTCATGTGATCACCTTTTGCAACCTTCTGACAAGCAAAGTCAATGGGGAAGCCAAATTCACTTTACAACCATGTTACTAACTTCACAACTGCATGGATTCACTTAACAATTGTGGGCAGGAAAGGTTGCATAATGAGGCAAAGCCCACTTAGCAACTGTCTCACTTACCAACGGAAATTTGGGGGCTCAATTGTGGCTGTAAATTGAAGACTACCTGGAAATGCAATCTTTAGCCATATTCCTTGAGACGGCTGCATCCCTGTCTCTGACTCAATTTGTCCAGCTGTCCAACCCTTTCTTGACCCCCCCCATGTGCTCCTCTCTCCAGAAAATGCCACTTTTAACTCCAGCAGTGAGGCTGAAAGGAAGACACAGCGCTATTACTTATCCTGCCTCAGAGAACAGAAGATTGAGGAACTGGGGTCTCAGCCGCTGATTGATCTGATCGAGAAGGTGAGTTCCGGAGTCAATGGGGCACAGCAGGTGTTGTTGGGAAGGCTGTAGGGGTTTGATGCAGAACGTGAGGGCCAATCAGTTCTTGCTCCTTATTGCCTTTGTTCACTCAGCATGCTTAATTTAGGTCAACAAGGACCTGGCAACTCCATTCTACTAATGGTAGCTCAGCTTGCTTAGTCTTAACTTCCTTCCCCCCCCCTTCTGCTTTATTATGCTGCAGGAAGCCAGGCTGTTGGGTTAATTTAAGGTTCAGTATTCTGCGTGGATCCAGAAATAAATTAATTCAGTCATCACATTAAGTGGCTCGGGTCAATTCAACCGGAGAATTGAAAAAAGCACAAACATGGTCTTCCCCTCAAAGGAATATATACTTTCAGCACCCTGGAGAGCTCTGCCCCAGTGATTTACAAGCAGGGTTGCAACTATTTGTGTCCAGCCATCACTTTAACATTGGTGAGGTTGGGCAATCCCCAGCTTTGCCCTGGATTAAGGCTGACCTTTTAGATCAGTGTTTCTCAACCTTGACAATTTTAAGGCATGTGGACTTCAACTCCCAGAATTCCACAGTCAGCAATGCTGGCTGTGGAATTCTGGGAGTTGAAGTCCACATGCCTTAAAATTGTCAGGGTTGAGAAACACTGTTTTAGATAGCTGTTTCTGAAGACTTAGATTAGTCCTGCACCTGAAGGCAGGACAGAAGCAACGGATGGAAATTAACCAAAGAAAGAAGCAACCTAGAACTAAGGAGAAACTTCCTGACACTGAGAACAATTAATCAGTGGAACGACTTGCCTCCAGAAGTTGTGGGTGCTCCAACACTGGAAGTTTTTAAGAAGAGACTGGACAGCCATTTGTCCGAAATGGTATAGGGTTTCCTGCCTGAGCAGGGGGTTGGACTAGAAGACCTCCAAGATCCCTTCCAACTTTATCATTATTATTATTATTATTATAATCAAGGAGAGAAGCAACCTAGAACTGAGGAGAAACTTCCTGACAGTTAGAACAATTAACCAGTGGAAAAACCTGCCTCCAGAAGCGGTGAATGCTCCAACTCTGGAAGTTTTTAAGAAGAGACTGGACAGCTATTTGTCTGAAAAGGTATAGGGCAGGGGTAGGCAATCTCGGCTCTTTTATGACTCATGGACCAACTCCCAGAATTCCTGAGTCAGCTATGCTGAAGTCCATGAGTGATAAAAGAGCTGAGGTTGCCTACCCCTGGATAGGGTTTCCTGCCTGAGCAGGGGGTTGGACTAGAATACCTCTAAGGTCCCTTCCAGCTCTGCTATTCTATTCTATTTAATTCTATTCTATCCTATCCCATCCCATCCCATCCCATCCCATCCTATCCTATCCTATTTCCAGATGGTGAAGAAGAAGCTATGATACTAATGGATTGGTCATCCTCTGGGTCCAGGCATTCAGAGAGTGAGGAGACATATCCTCACTTAGGACACTATAGAATTGGGTAGGCTGATGGATGTCCTTGATGTTGGAAGGTTCCCTAGCTTAGGGGTGCCCAACTTTGCCAACTTTAAGACTTGTGGACTTCAACTCCCAGAATTCCCCATCCAGGCATATTGGCTGGAGAATTCTGGGCATTGAAGCCCCCAAGTCTTAAAGTTGCAAGATTGAACACCCCTGCTCTAGCTCCTACTAAACCCGCCACTCTCGTGATTAGGAGAAAGAAGAAGAAAAGTCATGAAAAGAAAATCTGATGTGAACAGATTTTTATTCAGGGTGGCCTGTTGCTTACAGTAGGCTGCTGAAGAACGCAAATTACTTTGACACTGGGTGCTAAAAAAACATCCAGATTATACTTCTATATTATTTCAACCTCTTCTCAGGGATTTTTTTTGCAAGCAGGAATTGTTTGAAAGTAGGTAGATGCATTGTCTAAGTACAATAAGCCGCTGCTCATAAAAGGAGCCTGCTTAGGAATAGTTATGGAATGTTTTGAATATTAAAAGCATTTTGCTCACATTCTCTTGAGGAGAATCTGACTTATGCCCATGGCTAGTCACTTGATGTTTTATTAATTCACATATTCAAGGAAGATCTGGCTCCAATCTGGGTAGAATTGGACCAGTTCCATACAATCTGTGGAGGGCAAAGTTTCTTCTTAAACAGATCCAACCAGTGTGTGTGTATGTCTGTGTGTCTCTGTGTGTCGCATCCAGGCTGTAAGTATTTGGGGGGGGGGGAATCTGTTGTACCTTGGAACAGTCACTAAATGACCATTCGTAGGTCCAGGAGTACCTGTGTATTTCTCTTTTCAGCAATATATTTTTAGCTATAATTTTGCCTTGCCCTGGGGTGCACCTGGGATTAATTTAACAAGCTAAGAGCACCTGTGCCTTGTCCTGAAGCTTAAACCTTAATTGAATTTTTAGTGGATCTTTTTATGGGAGATTTGGGCCTTCTCAACCATTTTGATCACATTGAAACTTAGAAAAAACAGGTTGTCTGGCGACAGGATGATCAGGAGTTCATTTTCCTTCAAGGACAATTCCAAGATTGTATTCCCAATTCTGGGCTCGTGAGAACATTCAGCAAAAATATGACTATGATCATGCCAAGAGATAGAAGAGTATCAGATATAAAACTAGTTGTCTTTTTGTTATAGTACATTATTATTAATTTATCAAAGTATAAAATACAAAGAGAAATTTAAAAAATAGAAAACGGGGGAGGGAAAAAGAAAAAAGGAGAAAATACGATGTGAAGAGGGAAAAAGAAAGAAAAAAAGCACCAACTTCCAATTCTTTAGCACAACAGAAGATAACCACAACTTTTGACTTTTACACAACAGTATATACTAGATCAGGGATGGGGAACCTTGGCTCTTTTATGACTCGTGGACTTCAACTCCCAGAATTCCTGAGCCAGCATGGCTCAGCTTGGAAACCTCTCCCTTTCCCCTCAGCATGGCTGGCTCAGGAATTCTGGGAGTTGAAGTCCATGAGTCATAAAAGAGCCAAGGTTGCCAGGCCCTGTACTAGCCATTTCTATAGCAACAAACCTATCTAATCAGCAAAAACAAAATCGTTCATTTTTTTCCCATTGCAAGCACCAAATCCGTAAGCCATTTCCAAATAGAAACAAAATTAAATATATTGTCTTCTTTGGATACAAGAGTCATTTTAACCATCTTTGGTTCTTCTTGCTATGGGGAATAGTATATGCTTCTGTTTATTCATTAATCTTTATAAACTGTCATAAGTTATATTAAAAGAATTCCCTATATTATTTCAAAAAATTTTTAACCCTGAAGGGAGAAAACACTTTTTTCTAGTTTTGGATATTTTGCAAACTTTAAAAATTACTCAAATATTATATATAAAGGAAGAAAAAAAACCTTCATTTTAAATCCAGAACGCAAAACACAAAACTACACTAAAGCTTTCATTCAATTATATATATTGCACCAATAAAAATCCAATTAACTCCAATTGGATTTAAATCTCTCCCTCAAGTTTATCGGCATGGAGTAAAATCTGTTTCTTCTCTTATTTTCAAATTTGATCAATAAGACTAAGCTGTCTTGAGGATCTGAACATTTCCTAGGCCCTGCCTGGGTTCTTATATTTTAAGATTCCAGGAAAGAGTTTGAAAATATGAGCAAACACTAAAGAGAACATAAATATCAAATAAAATGTGGATTCCTGGTACAGGACAGAAAACATTTCAAGCATCCATGGATGAATAACAATAACGAAGTTGGAAGGGAGCTTGGAGGTCATCTAGTCCAACCCCCTGCTCAGGCAGGAGACCCTATACCATTTCAGACAAATGGCTATCCAGTCTCTTCTTAAAAACTTATAGTATTGGAGCATTCACCACTTCTGGAGGCAGGTTGTTCCACTGGGTAATTGTTCTCACTGTCAGGAAATTTCTCCTTAGTTCTAGGTTGCTTCTCTCCTTGCTTAGTTTCCATCTGTTGCTTCTTGTCCTGCCTTCAGGCTCTTTGGAGAATAGCTTGACTCCCTCTTCTTTGGGACAGCCCCTGAGATATTGGAACACTGCTATCATGTCCCCACTAGTCCTTCTCTTCATTAGACTAGACATACCCAATTCCAGCAACTGTTTTAACCCCCAGTCCCCTAATCATCTTTGTTGCTCTTCTCTGTACTCTTTCTAAAGCAGTGGTTCTCAACCTTTTTAATGCCATGACCCCCAACCAGTCGTAAGTCAAGGACTACTCAACTAGTCGTAAGTTGAGGACCACTCAACTGGTGCAGTACCATTTGCAGAATGGGACTTTTGGCGAGCTCATCAGGGCAGAGACAGCCTGGACAATTCCTATTGGCTTTTGAAAGCCAATAGAATTAGACTCTATTCAAGAGAGTCTATTCTATTTGCTTTCAAAAGCCAATAGAATAAAAGGGAGTAGCACAGCTAAGGAAAAGGGGAAAAAAATGGCGGACTGCGTTGTTTGGCAACCCCCGTGAAATGGTCGTTCGACCCCAAATGGGGTCCCGACCCACAGGTTGAGAACCACTGTTCTAGAGTGTATGATTTGACTTGGCTTGACTTGACTTTTTTTTTTTCTATGACTTTACTTCTGGCTGCAATGGATCAAAATGGATTTTAACAAAAGCCACGAGTGTTCTATGATTTTAAAATTTAAACCTGTTTCCTTCTCAGATTGGTGGCTGGAATGTCACTGGCTCCTGGAACCAGACCAACTTCATGGACGTCTTGAAATTGGTCTCTGCAACGTATCGCGCTTCTCCGTTCTTCACTGTTTTCGTGGGACCTGATTCCAAAAGCTCCAATAGCAACATCATCCAGGTAACCTTGTCTTCCCACCTGTTGCAATAGCAAGTCCACATGATTTACAGAGGGAATGGCTCTCATCACTCTCTGCTTGATCTCATCAGATTTACAGTACTGTGAATAGACCAGTGTTCTTAACGTTTGTAACGGGTGGTGGGGGGGTCCAACTTGGCAACGTTAAGACTTGTGGACTTCAAATCCCAGAATTCTCCCGCCAGCGTGAATGGCTAGGGAATTCTGGGAGTTGAAGTCCACAAGTCTTAACATTATCACATTTGAACCCCCCCTGCTCTATAATTTCAATTAGGAGTGGGAATTTGAAGATGTGCTGGACTATAAGTCATGACCATTGTTGGTACAGAAGAAGGAGGCTGTGCCAACACATTTTAAGGAGGCTAAGTCGAAAAGGCTCAGTTCTCATTAAGTTTGGGAACTCAACCTAGGCAGAAGACACTTCCATCCTTCCTTAGATTTTTAATCCAAAGAAGGAAGGCAATTTCCATTTATATGCAAAATAGAATGCAGGGAATATTTCACGCCTCATAAGTTTCCACCACCAGCACCAAGGTTGCAACTCAGAAACAGGTTCCCTGTCTCAGTGAGAATCAGGTCAGGAGCTCTGAAATTGTTCTGGAGCCCTCAGTTTATTCTGAAGTCCATACAGGTAGTCCTCGACGTCCGACCACAACTGAGCCCAAAATTGACCTTGCTAAGCCAGACATTTCTTAAGTGAATTTTTATCCCATTTTTGCAATCTTTATTGCCACCATTGTTAAGTGAATCTGGCTTCCCCATCGATTTTGCTTGTCAAAAGATTCCAAAAGATGATCACATGACCCTGGGACACGGCCATATTTATATGAGCTGGTTGCCAAGCATCCAAATTTTGATCATGTGACCATGTGGATGCGGCAGTGGTTGTAAGTGTGAAAAACAGTCACAAGGAACTTTTTTCAGTGCTGTTATAACTTTGAGTGGACACTAAATGAATGGTTGTAAATAATAATAATAATAATAATAATAATAATAATAATAATAATGGGTGAAGATCTTGTGGAACTTTCGATCGCCATTTGGAACACAATACGCCGGATATCATAGTTGTAGAGAACCAAAGCGTACAGCTGATTGATATCGCTGTACCAGGAGATGCCAGAGTCGAAGAAAAAGAACTGGAAAAAAATTACGAAATATCGCGACCTGGCCATCAAAACTGCGCGATTATGGATGAAATGTGTAACAGTGGTCCCCATTGTCATCGGGGCATTGGGAACTATGTCCAAAAACTTTGCAAAATACATCAAGAAACTGCAGCTTCCTGCAATAACTCCAGTAATGTTACAAAAAACTGCGCTACTCGGAACATCTTACATTTTAAGGAGGTACCTGGTTGACACCTAGGATGCTGGTAGCAACCTGTGTTAACCATCAGCACCAACCAATTAGAATGTTCAGTTGACTGAAGTTCATGTCTAATGAATAAAAGATAATAAATAATAACAATAATTATAATTATAATAAACAGACAAGCACCTGCAACATAACACCCTGGACTTAACAATTGTCGATAAGAAAGACAAAAAAGTCTGGATAGTGGATGTGGCAGTGCCTGGAGACAGCAGAATAGACGAGAAAGAACTGGAGAAGATAACAAAATACAAAGACCTACAAATAGAAATAGAAAGACTGTGGCAAAAGCAAGCAAGGGTAGTACCAATAGTAATAGGTGCCTTGGGTGCAATCCCAAAACAACTGGAGTACCACTTGAACACCATTGGCATTGACAAATTCGCCATTAGTCAGTTGGAAAAGGCAGCCTTACTAGGAACTGCTTCCATCTTGCGACGATACCTGTAATACCATCAAACATCCACATCTGCCTATCCCAGGTCCTGGGTAAGAACTCGATAGGTAGACAAAATGCCAAATCCAGTCTGAATATCTGGCTGACTGTGCGATGATCCATCATCATCATCATCATCATAATAATAATAATAATAATAATAATAATAATAGTAATAATAATAATAAAATTGGAAGGGACCTTGGAGGTCATCTAGTCCAACACCCTGCTCAGGCAGGAAACCCTATACCATTTCAGACAAATGGCTGTCCAGTCTCTTCTTAAGAACTTCCAGTGTTGGAGCACTTACTGCTTCTGGAGGCAGGCTGTTCCACTGATTAATTGTTCTCACTGTCAGGAAGTTTCTCCTTAGTTCTAGGTTGCTTCTCTCCTTGATGAGTTTCCATCCGTTGCTTCTTGTCCTGCCTTCAGGTGCTTTGGAAAATAGCTTGACTCCCTCTTCTTTGGGGCAGCCCCTGAGATATTGGAACACTGCTATCATGTCCCCCCTCGTCCTTCTCTTCATTAAACTGGACATACCCAGTTCCAGCAACCGTTCCTTCTATGTTTACAAGGACTACTTGTAATGCCCCTTTCTTATGTAGCTATCGGGAGCTAGGAACAGGATGCTTTTTCTGGCTGTTTTATAGAGGAATACAAGGCAATAGAAGGACAGTCTGACTTCTGGATTGAACTTATTCTTTTTTTACCTGTGGCAGGTGGATCAGTCCGGCCTATTTCTTCCATCACGAGATTATTATTTGAACAAGACAGCCAACAAGAAGGTAAGGAAACTTGGTGCAGATAATCCTCAACTGAGGATTGCAACAGAGTCCAAAATTTCTGTTGCTAAACATGTTAGTTATTAAGTTTGTCCCATTTTACCACCTTCTTGCCTCAGTGAAGTGAAGTGCAGTTGTTGAGTTGGTCACACAGTTGTGAAGTGAATCTGACTCCCCCAGCCTTGCTTGTCACAGGGTCACAAAAAATGATCACAGGACCTCAGGACACTGCAACTGTTCATAAATGTGAACCAGTTGCCAAGTGCCCGAATTTCAATCACATGACCATGGGGATGCTGCAACGGTTGTTAAGTGTGAAAAACGGTCATGTCACTTTTTCCAGTACTGTCGTAACTTTAAACAGTCACTAAATGAGTGGTTGTAAGTCAAGGACTACCTGTATAGTATCCCCAGTCAAAGTCCAACCCACTTCCCAACAGCAGCATCACATCAGCAGATTTTAGTGAGGACTGTGTGTTAAAAATATGACTAATCTTACATCTACTAAACGTTAATGCTTCCAATGAATTTACTGCAGTTTATTGCATGCACACAATACATTTTATTATACTCTTCTGAGTCATCCTGACTTCTTTAAGAGGCATGGACTTCAACTCCCAGAATTCCCCACCAGCATGGCTGGCTGGGGAATTCTGGGTGTTGAAATTCACACCTCTTGAAGTGGGGGTAGGCAACCCCGGCTCTTTTATGACTCATGGACTTCAACTCCCAGATAATCTTATAGACTCTGCTCAAGCAACGCTTCTGTGCTATGTCTATGCATTAAAAGTTTCAATTTGGTTAACAAGCCCAGAGCAAGGGCTGCTTAATCTGTCCATTTAGCAACTGGGAGAAAATGTACCGTAAGTAACCTGATAGGAGCAAAGGCTCACTTCTGCTTTTTTAAAACTGCAGGCATCTTTATGCAAAAGGATCGTTATTTAAAGCTGTTTATGCTCCCGCCTTGCTCACTGCAGGAACCAGGAGTGTTTTGTCCATGTGTTCCTTTGTAAATCTCTCTTGGGAGATGATGGATCTTCCTGAGACAAAGGGTTCCTGCTGAAAGAACTAATAATATTAATGTTTTAATAAGGTTTGGACAATTTGTGATTTTGCTTGGCTGTGGCTTAGCCTTGACCCAGGTATTGTGGGTTTGCAAACCACAATTTGTCATTTACCGAGCAAAGTGTATGCAGCTAGTTGTAGTTTATTTAATGACTGTGAGTAGTCAAATCAAGATTTGAAGTGTTGTAGAGATTCCGCCAATGTTTGATTGGTATTTAACAGGGCAACCCAAATAATTTTTTCCATATCGTTCAAAACTTTGTCAAGGAATGAGAACAAAAGTGACTAAAACCTCCAAAATCAAAAGAATGGCTATATAAGTACCTGTTTTTTCAAACTTTGGTGCATTCATTACTCTGTCTAGAGTCCCAGGGGTAGGCAACCTTGGCTCTTTTATGACTCATGGACTTCAACTCCCAGAATTCCTGAGCCAGCTACAGAAACCAAGAAAGAGACGCTGAGGTTCTTCTAGGCCAGGGGTAGGCAACCTTGGCTCTTTTCTGACTCGTGGACTTCAACTCCCAGAATTCCTGAACCAGCATGGCTCAGCTTGGAAACCTCTCCCTTTCCCCTCAGCATGGCTGGCTCAGGAATTCTGGGAGTTGAAGTCCACGAGTCATAAAAGAGCTAAGGTTGCCTATCCCTGGCCTAGGCCTGTATTTTTCAACCTTGGCCACTCGGAGATGGGTAGACTTCAACTCCCAGAATTCCTGAGCCCACATGGGGGAACTATGGCCCCTTCATGACTTGTGGACTTCAACTCCCAGAATTCCTGAGCCAGCAAGGCTCAGCTTGGAAACCTCTCCCTTTCCCCTCAGCATGGCTGGCTCAGGAATTCTGGGAGTTGAAGTCCACGAGTCATAAAAGAGCCAAGGTTGCCTGACCCTGTTCTAGGCAGTTTCTTTTATTGTTCTTCAGTTATAGACAGAAATCTTGCCAAACAACACAAATTACTTGCACTCTGGTAACCCAATGATGCTTTTTTTCAGGAGGCAACTGGACTTTCATGTTTTTCTTTGAAGACGTTTTGCTTCTCATCCCAGAAGCTTCTTCAGCTCCGACTGGATGATGAGGAATGGAAGGATTTATATTCCTTGCTGGTCATTTGCATTCTTTTAGAGCAGTGTTTCTCAACCTTGACAATTTTAAGGCATGTGGACTTCAACTCCCAGAATTCCACAGCCAGCATTGCTGACTGTGGAATTCTGGGAGTTGAAGTCCACATGCCTTAAAATTGTCAAGGTTGAGAAACACTGTTTTAGAGAGTCATTGAGGCCACTTGGAGGTTTATCTGTGCCCTCAGGGTCACCTGAGTGGTGCAAATGGGTGTGGAGCCTTCTTGGAACTGCTGAAAGGACCGTGTTGTAGACTGGAGATAGATGGTGTCGTATCCCTCTCCTTCTGTTGAGAAAGGACTGTGAAATTTTGAATATCAATCCTTTCCTTCCCCCACCATCCAGTCAAAGCTGAAGAAGCTTCTTGGATGAGAAGCGAAACGTCTTCAAGGAAAAACAAGAAAGTCCAGCTGCCTCGTGAAAAAGCACCTTTGACACAACCAAGACCTAGATGATGGAGAATCTCCGTAGACCAGCGGTTCTCAACCTGTGGGTCGGGACCCCATTTGGGGTCGAATGACCATTTCACGGGAGTCGCCAAACAACGCAGTCCGCCATTTTTTCCCCTTTTCCCTAGCAGTCCTACTCCCTCTTATTGGTGGCCACACCCACTTGGGGGTCACCACAACATGGGGAACTATATTATGGGGTCACGGCATTAGAAAGGTTGAGAACCACTGCCGTAGACATTTACACTCTGAAAACTCTTAGGGAAGGAGCCGTCGGTAGTTTGTTTCTACCAAACAAACTATCTAAATTTTGCTGCCTTTCCCCCTTCTGGGAATCCAGACTCCATTCCATCAGAGAATGTTGAGATCATCTTTACGAGGTTTTTTTTTTTTTTGCTAGAGCTTTTATTTTTAGAGGCAAAGTGGATGTGGAATCTGAAAAGCAGTTTTCTTCTGTTTATAACCTACTCTGTTCTAATTTGTTTGGTATCAAATTGTTTGTTTTAGATCAGGGGTTCTCAACCTGTGGGTCGGGACCCCATTTGGGGTCGAACGACCATTTCACGGGGGTCGCCAAACAACGCAGTCCGCCATTTTTCCCCCCCTTTTCCTTAGCTGTGCTACTCCCTCTTATTCTATTGGCTTTTGAAAGCCAATAGAATAGACTCTCTTGAATAGAGTCTAATTCTATTGGCTTTCAAAAGCCAACAGGAATTGTCCAGGCTGTCTCTGCCCTGCGGAGCCCGCCAAAAGTCCCATTCTGCAAACGATGCTGTACCAGTTGAGTAGTCCTCGACTTACGACCGGTTGAGTAGTCCTCGACTTACGACCGGTTGGGGGTCGCGGCATTAAAAAGGTTGAGAACCACTGTTTTAGACGTTATAGGTCATTTATAACTTGGAAATTTAATTGGGCAGCCAGGGTGTTGTTCTTAGCCTAGGGCTGTTCTGCTTGACTTTCTGCTTCCTTCCGCTGTTTTTACCCATTTTTAAAAGTCTTTTCATCAGCTTGCATTTTGTGATCGTTATCTGTGACCTCTCTTGCAAATGGTAACCTATCCCATTTATCCATTTGGGGAATTCTACTCTTTCTATCCAGGACAGCTCTGGGGAAAGAGAAGGAGATGGATTTTGAGTCTCCTTTCCTGAAATCCAGAGTCACAAAGCAGGCTTGAAACATGAGAAGTATCTATAAAATAGTGCAAGGGGAGGAAGGTTTAAGTGAGAAATAAAACTGAGGAAGCTTAAAAAAAAAAAGTCTAATGGGAAAAGGGAAAGGTGAGGGAAAACAAAAGGCAGGCAACACAGAGAATTCCAGATGAAATCAATTTACAGCCAGCTGTGCAAAACTCCTGATGGCTTTGCTGAATCAACTCTTGAACTGCAGCAGATATTCATTGCAGAGAGGATGGGGGAGAGGGAACATCTGGGCATCCTGTGTGGATGCTCACAAGCAGAAGGTCCAGATGTTCTCTGTCTGTCATCCTTTCTGCAGTTCACAAGGAAGCTATTTCTTCCTTCCTTCCTTCCTTCCTTCCTTCCTTCCTTCCTTCCTTCCTTCCTTCCTTCCTTCCTTCCTTCCTTCCTTTCTTTCTTTCTTTCTTTCTTTCTTTCTTTCTCCTCCTCCCTCCCTCTCTCCCTCCCTCCCTTCCTCCCTTCCACTTTGGTTCTTTACTGTTACAGTTGTAACTGGACTCGTAAACTGAATTTAGTAACTGCTCTAATTCTCTTGGAAATGAGACACAATAGATCCATTTCCCATTTCCACTACTATTTCTTAAACTTGACTAAAAGGGAAGGCAGGGAGAGAGGGAAAGAAGGAAGGAAGGAAGGAAGGAAAAACAGAGGAAAGAAGGAAGAAATAGGAGAAAGAAAGAAAAGAAAGAAAGAAAGAAAGAGAAAGAAAGAAAGAAAAAGAAAGGCTAAAACATATAAGGAACGGTTGCTAGAATTGGGTATGTCTAGTTTAACGAAGAGAAGGACAAGGGGTGTCACGATAGCAGAATTCCAATATCTCAGGGGCTGCCCCAAAGAAGAGGGCGTCAAGCTATTCTCCAGAGCGCCTGAAGGCAGGACAAGAAGCAATGGGTGGAAACTAATCAAGGAGAGAAGCAACCTAGAACTAAGGAGAAACTTCCTGACAGTGAGAACAATTAATCAGTGGAACAACCTGCCTCCAGAAGCAGTAAATGCTCCAACACTGGAAGTTTTTAAGAAGAGACTGGACGGCCATTTGTCCGAAATAGTGTAGGGTTTCCTGCCTGAACAGGGGGTTGGACTAGATGACCTCCAAGGTCCCTTCCAACTTTACTACTATTATTATTATTATAATTCTGGGTATATCTTGAGAGTTTGCATATCCCTTTTCAATATCCCTTTTGATCGTTTTTAACTTCCCACTTGGCCTTTCTGACCAAACTCCAGAATGAACTCTGCTGCCCTCCAGCCCATTCTTATCCCACACTCAAGGGGAGCAGAAGGTGGGGGTCATTGTTGTGGAATTACTCCTCTATTTGCCAGGTGTTGTCTGCCTATCTGGAGTACATGGTGGAGCTGGCGATGCTGTTGGGAGGAGCCAGAAGCGCAGTGGAAGAACAGATGGGTCAGGTGCTGCTCCTGGAGACTCAGTTGGCCAACATCACTGTCCCCCAAGACGAACGGCGAGATGATGAGAAGATTTACCATAAGATGACCATTGCTGACTTACAGGTGGGCCTTGTCTGGAGAAGGGCAGGAAGGGGCATCTGGTGGAATGGGGAACAGAAAGGAAACATGTATCAGAGATATAGCTGGAGGGGGAAATTGATTGCTTAAAAGCTGTTCCCTAAGATGGGAGAAATTGTGGTTTTAAGTCATAGAGCTTCACTATTATTTTTTTCTGACGTCAAGGGACCAGGTTGATGATATGATACGTTATCACTGGAGGACTGAAAGTTTCAGTCCTATATTTTGGAGGGAAGAGTTGATGCTGTTGGGAACAACAGGTGAAGTGTTAATTAGTACCACTTTATAATGCCTCGGAAAGACCACACTTGGAATATTGCATCCAGGTTTGGTTGCCATGATGTAAAAGAGATTCTAGAATCTAGAAAGAGTGCAGAAAAGAGCAACGAAGATGCTTGCCATAGTAATTAAGTAACTCACTTCAGGGATTAATAGCACGGTTTTTAAGTGAATCTGGCTTACCCATTAACTTTGCTTGTCAGTGTCCTGGTTCCGATAGATGAAACTCTTCAAAAGAACTTCGAGGCATTGTTTACCTTAAAGAATCTTTATTCGAGAAGCATAACTTCGGCACTTACATAGCCGAAGCCAAAAACTGAATTCCCCTCCCCTGAGCACATAGTATCAAAACACCATTCCCTCCTCTAATTGACAGTCATAAATCATATTCCCCAATTAGCTTGAAATGCAGGCTCTCCCTCCAGTTCTCCAGCTCCGGCCAATTCTTATCATCTCTTATTTCATTAACCTTGATTCCACACTAGGTTCAGTATTATTATGTCTGACTACACCCTCATGCACATTCCTCCCCCCAGCATCATCTACTCTAAAATTAAAACATAAGAATCTACATGCATTTACATGGAGGGAAGCGTGTAGTGGGGTGCCCCAGGGCTCTGTTCTGGGCCCAGTGCTCTTCAACATCTTCATCAACGATTTGGACGAGGGGATAGATGGGGAACTCATCAAATTTGCAGATGACACCAAGCTGGCAGGAATAGCCAACACTCCAGAAGACAGGCTTAAGATACAGGAGGATCTGGACAGACTTGAACACTGTGCACTAACTAACAAAATGAAATTCAATGGTGAAAAAAGTAAGGTTCTACATTTAGGCAAGAAAAACCAAATGCACAAGTATAGTATAGGTGGTACCATGCTCAATAGTAGTAACTGTGAGAGGGATCTCGGAGTCCTAGTAGACAATCACTTAAATATGAGCCAGCAGTGTGCTGCAGCTGCCAAAAAGGCCAACACAGTGCTAGGCTGCATTAACAGAGGGATAGAATCAAGATCACGTGAAGTATTAATACCACTTTACAATGCCTTGGTAAGGCCACACTTGGAATACTGCATCCAGTTTTGGTCACCACGATGTAAAAAAGATGCTGAGACTCTTGAAAGAGTACAGAGAAGAGCAACAAAGATGATCAGGGGGCTGGAGGCTAAAACATATAAGGAACGGTTGCTGGAATTGGGTATGTCTAGTTCACAGGTCGGCAACCTGCGGCTCCGGAGCCGCATGCGGCTCTTTGAGCCTTCCCCTGTGGCTCCCAGCCTCCTCTGCCTTTGCAGAGAGAGACAGAGACAGAGAGAGGCAATTGCGCTTCCCTGCTTCTCTCTCTCTCTCTCTGTGTGTGTGTGTCTGTGTGTTTTGTGTGTGTGTGTGTGTGTGTGTGTGTATGTGTAAAAGAGAGTGCACTCACAGTATTCTCCGAGGAGCTGAAAAGCTTACTGGGCAGAGCTCCTCCCTTTGCTGCGTCTCTTCAGGAAGCAGGAAGGGCAGGAGAGAGCTAGCTAGCCCAGCTAGGCTGACTCAGGAATTCTGGGAGTTGAAGTCCATGAGTCATAAAAGAGACGAGGTTGTCTACCCCGGAGGTTGTTCGACAACAGCTTGAAGCTTGCCAGGTGAGCAGCAGATAGGAGGGGGGGGAGAAAGAGAGAGAGAGAGAGAGAGAGGGAGAGAGAGAGTGGGGGAAGAGGAGTGGCAGACCAAGGGCAGATAGAGAGGGAGGGAGAGAGAGACCCTTTTGACATCTAAAATGAAGATAACACTGCATATATCCTTTTTTTACCTGTGTGTGTAGGTAATTTTATTCTCTTAAAGCATTCTCTTGGTGATCATTGTTTTAATAGTATGGATATTCCCAAGAGTCATATTTTTACTTTTATTTTTAATGTGTATATGTGTTTGTGTGTGTGTGTGTGTGTGTGTGTATACACATATACACATACACATACACACACACACATACACATACACACACCTATAATAAAGGTAAAAAAGGATATATGCAGTGTTATCTTCATTTTAGATATCAAAAGGGTTTTGCGGCTCCCAGTGTTTTGTTTTTGGTGGGAAACGGGTCCAAGTGGCTCTTTGAGTGTTTTGGGTTGCCTACCCCTGGTCTAGTTTAACAAAGAGAAGGACGAGGGGGGACATGATAGCAGTGTTCCAGTATCTCAGGGGCTGCCACAAAGAAGAGGGAGTCAAGCTATTCTCCAAAGCATCTGAAGGCAGGACAAGAAGCAACGGATGGAAAAGGAGAGAAGCAACCCAGAACTAAGGAGAAACTTCCTGACAGTTAGAACAATTAACCAATGGAACAACCTGCCTCCAGAGGCTGTGAATGCTCCAACACTGGAAGTTTTTAAGAAGAGACTGGACAGCCATTTGTCCGAAGTGGTGTAGGGTTTCCTACCTGAGCAGGGGGTTGGACTCGATGACCTCCAAGGTCCCTTCCAACTTTATTATTATTATTATATTATTAATGGTTGCATCTCTAACTGTTGTCAAAGCAAAAACATCCGATATCAGCAGCGTTGACAGTCAGAAGGTTGCAAAAGGATGTGACTCAGTTGCCAAGCATCCAAGTTTTGATCACGTGACCATGGGGATGCTGCAACGGTCCTTGGTGTGAAAAACAGTGATGTCACTTTTTAGGACCGTCGTAAATTTGAACAGTCACTAAACAAACTGTCGTAAGTCGAGGAGTACCTGTATGTAAGAACTGCGTTGAAACTGTACACATTTGGAATTCGATTCAGTTGGGCTTGAGCTGGACCCCAGATGGGAAAAAAATTGAATTGCTGATGCTGGGGAAGAAGAAATGTCAAACTGTAATGGCAGATTTTCTGTGTCTTTCGTTGACATCCCTCCCCCCTTATTCCTTTGCCCTGGACCTTCAAAGGATAGACAAGGATAGAAAAAGTCCGAACAGTATTCTTCAAAATGAAAAAGGTCTTCTGCAGTTACGACATAAACCTAAGACTAAAAATCAGGCTTGTCAGATGCTATATTTTTTCTATCCTGCTCTATGGAGTAGAGAGCTGGTCTCTGACAGAAGGCCACCTGAAGAGACTAGAACAGTGGTTCTCAACCTTTTTAATGCCGCGACCCCCAACTGGTCGTAGGTCGAGGACTACCCAACCGGTCAGAATGGGACTTTTGGCCGGCTCAGCAGGGCAGAGACAGCCTGGACAATTCCATTGGCTTTTGAAAGCCAATGGAATTAGACTTTATTCAAGAGAGTCTATTCTATTGGCTTTCAAAAGCCAATAGAATAAAAGGGAGTAGCACAGCTAAGGAAAAGGGGGGAAAAATGGTGGACTGCGTTGTTTGGCGACCCCCGTGAAATGGTCGTTCGACCCCAAATGGGGTCCTGACCCACAGGTTGAGAACCACTGGACTAGAAGCATTTGAAATGTGGATTGACAGGCGGCTGTACGTATAAGCCAGGTTGACAAGATCAGAAATGAGGAGGGGATCAGCCGCCTGGGAAAGCCAAGGGAAATCATCAAAACAATTAAAAAACAAAAATTAGAATATTTCGGACACGTGATGCGACACCCAGAAAAATACAGCATACTCCATTTAGTCCTCCAGGGAAAGATGGAAAGCAAACTAGGTCCAGGCAGAAGAAGAACATCGTGGCTTCAAAATCTAAGGGACTGGTTTGGACAAAACTCAGCAGCACTTTTTCGTGCGGCTGCTGATAAAAACAGGATCGCCAACATGATCGCCAACGTCCGATAACGGATATGGCACAAGAAGAAGAAGAAGGACCTTCAGTAGCACCCAGTGACACCCCACTTTCTGCCTCCCCCTTGCTCCTGTTTTTTGCAACCTCATAAACCAGGAAACACGGGCTTTTCGTTACGCGAACCTAGGCACCGTCTTTTGATTAGGATTCAGCACACGTAGCCGCGCATTCTGAATGAAAAGACCAGCAGCTTTGCTGAGCTGAATCCCAATCGGCCGCTGGGCTGCCTTAAAGCTCAATTTCGCTCTCCAAGGAAGAGAATTGTTCCATTCCTTCCCGGAATGTTGTGCCCACGTCCCTGCTGAGGTCACACTTTCAGCAGTGGTGCGAAAGAAGGGGCAAAGCAATCCCAAGGACAAACTTCACACTTCTGAGATTCTCTGCAAGTGATGCTCGGTTTCTGGGTGAGGTTGAGGTCTCCCTTTCCGATCTGGACAGAGGGAAGCGCTGCTAAGCGTTGTGGGCTGGGTGGCCCCTGGCTGGGGATGACGTAATGCAATGTTTCTCAAACCTGGCCACTTTAAGCCCTGTGGACTTCAATTCCCAGAATTCCCCAGACAGCCCTGCTGGTGGGGGAATTCTGGGAATTGAAGTCCACAGGGTTTAAAGTGGCCAGGTTTGAGAGCTGCTGACTTCACGAATCCTGCACTAAGCAGGTGGATATATTAGCTACCTCTGAGGCCCCTTACCCACTTACAGGTAATCCTCTAGTTATGGCCACACTTGAGCCCAACATTTCTGTTGCTAAATGAGACATTTCTTCAGTGAGTTTTGACCCATTTTCTTTCTGGCCATAGTCATTAAGCGAATTATTGCAGTTGTGAAATTAATAACATGGTGCAGTGCATCGGGCTTCCCCATGGACTTTGCCTGTCAGACGTTCACAAAAAAGGGATCACGTGGTCCCGGGACACGGCAACCATCATACATATGAACTAGTTACCAAGCATCCAAATTTTGATCACGTGGCCATGAGGATGCTACAACGTTTGTATGTGTGAAAAACGGTCATAGGTCAGTGCTTTTATAACTTTGAATGGCCATTAAATGAATGGTTGTAAGTCAAGGACTAACTGTACTGACCTTATTTTGATTTATATGGCTCCCCATCTCAGATTCATGATTCTGGCAGCCAAGTTACGCATTCAGTGAGCTTGGTGGCTCAGTTTGAAATAAACTGGATATGTGGGGTCTTTGGTGCTTTCAGAGCTTGGTGGCCATGCTCCACCAAGCAATGTTGATGTTACCTGGTTGGGTAATAAAATGTCTGCAAGAAAATGACCGAGCTCAGAGGGCACAAAGGACCCCACAGTTCAACCCTGAGCTACAAAAATTTCTCTTCGGTCGATAAACACAGTATCTTATGGCAGGACTCCTTCCTTGAAATATTTAGCTGATGAGATATCTGCCTAATTATTCTGTTTTTAATTGTTAATTTTCTTGATTAAATTGTATACCACCCACAACTCCTGTCTGAGGGAGATGGCTGGTTAAGAAGTGTGATAGATAGATAGATAGATAGATAGATAGATAGATAGATAGATAGATAGATAGATAGATAGATAGATAGATAGATAGGTTGGATAGGCATAGATAGATAATAGAAAGGATAGAACTATATAGATAGATAGGTAGGTAGGTAGGTAGGTAGGTAGGTAGATAGATAGATAGATAGATAGATAGATAGATAGATAGATAGATAGATAGATAATAGATTGGATAGACATAGATAATAGAAAGGATAGGTAGGTAGGTAGATAGATAGATAGATAGATAGATAGATAGATAGATAGACAGACAGACAGACATAGATAATAGATTGGATAGACATAGATAATAGAAAGGATAGAACTAGATAGATAGATAGATAGTACAGACAGATGATAGAGATAGGTAGGTAGGTAGGTAGATAGATAGATAGATAGATAGATAGATAGATAGATAGATAGATAGATAGATAGATAGATAGATAATAGATTGGATAGACAGATAATAGAAAGGATAGGTAGATAGGTAGGTAGATAGATAGATAGATAGATAGATAGATAGATAGATAGATAGATAGATAGATAGATAGATAGATAGACAGACATAGATAATAGATTGGATAGACATAGATAATAGAAAGGATAGAACTAGATAGATAGATAGATAGATAGTACAGACAGATGATAGAGATAGATAGATAGATAGATAGTACAGACAGAAAGATGATAGAGATAGAGAATATATATATATATAGAGAGAGAGATAGTAGAGACAGAGATGATAGATAGATAATAGACAGAGATGATAGAGAAATAGATAGATAGATAGATAGATAGATAGATATAGATAGTAGATAGAGATGATAGAGATAGATAGTACAGAGAGATTATATATATACATATATATATATATATATATATAGAGAGAGAGAGAGAGATAGTAGAGAATGATAGATTAGATAGATAGTAGAGACAGAGATGATAGATAGATAGATAGATAGATAGATAGATAGATAGATGGAAGAGAGGGAGGGAGAGAGAGAGAGAGAGAGAGAGAGAGAGAGAGAGAGAGAGAGAGAGAGAGATAAAACATGAGGGGGGGGGTGATGGACCAAGCAGACCCCTCCCAAACAGGGGTGAAATTGGGACTCAACAATGTATAGCAAAACTTCCTTTCCGGAAAACACAAATTCTTCCTTTGACCTTCCAGCTGCAACTCGAAAAATGAGATCATAAAGCCTTTTTGCATCGTTTTAGTACATTTTAATCCATATGACTTATGTTTTGAGCTAAATCAGATCACACAGCAGTGGATTAGGCCTCCATTCTCCTCTACCCACCCACGCCCCCGTGCCTCTTTCAAACCTTTCATCCATGTCCCACTGCATATAGTTATTCACTACTCTGTGCATAACTAGGTCACCGGAAGACCGGTTATATTCACACAACCTTCTACCCTTGGTTACGTTTTTTTCAGAGCATCACAGGGGAAGATCCGACTCCCTGGCTTAGTTTAGAGGTCTGCGTTTGTTTTGTAGATCCAGAAAATTAGGTTAATTCGGTAACCCAGGCGCAGTGCCCGTCCACCTATCCAGTTTTTTGTTTACTGTTTTATTTTGCATCGCTTGGACACTGCCTGCACCGTTGCCAGTAAACGGTTCCCATAATTTCTCTTGTCCTGATTGGTCTGGCTTCCATCACGCCTGTTTGCTTCTTTGCTTCCAGCCTGCCAGTTGCAAGGAGTGAGCAGCTTTCTTCCTCACTCGTGGGTTGCCTAGCAACCTGCCACCATGGTAACTGGGAGACAAGTAAAATCCTCTGTATTGAGTAGCAGTGATGCTTCAGCCATGAGAAGTGCAATTTGGCTTACATGGGTGTGGCCAGATTGATTCCTTGGGGAAAAAAAGGAGGGGGGGAGGGGGGAAGAATCTTGGCATGAAGACAGAGCTGTTAACCCAGGACAGGAACAAGAGAAAATTAAAATTAAAGGAGGAAAATTAAAGGAGTCTACTCCAGAGCTTATCTTTGGTGCTGGGGCAGTGGTTGAGCCGAGAATATTAAAACAAACGGACAGTGTGCAGAACTCATTTGCCACCGCTCCGAATACCTTTCTTTTTCTTTCAGTGAATCATAGTGCTGCATAAGAGCGAGTGAAGTGGTTTTACTTTTGTTCTCCAGAAGTCTTAATTAGGAAAATGCCCATTTAAATAAAGCCAATGGCAGGGGAAGAAAGAACATCATAAAACGCTGAAGCCAGAAAAATCTGTATTTAGTCAGAAGTGGAAATTACGGGATAGGCTGCCTTCCCCACCTGGGTGCTCTTGGGATTAATTGACGGGGAAATTGCTTCTCCACCCAACCCAATCATCTTCAAACAGAAGATGCTGCCTGGGGATAATAGGAGTTGGAGTCCACCTTTTCTCTGAAGATGCCATGTTTGGGGAAAGATGATCCATTTTTCACCATCTCCGGTTCTAATTGCAGTTAGTATGGCTGGGACACATAACTCATCCCACATTTTAAAAAAAAAGTACCAGAAAGCATCAGTTGTTCAGCTGATTTACCAATTTAAGCTTGAGCTGTTTCTAAATAACCCCTTGTGCCTTTGTTGTTGTTCAGTTGCTGTCCAACTCCCTGCGACCCCATGGATCACAACACACCAGCCCCCCCCCCCCCGTCCTCCATCGTCTCCCGGAGTTTGCCCAAATTCAGTTCATTGCGCTGATGATACCATCTAACCATCTCCTGCGCCGTCCCCTTCTCCTTTTGCCTTCTGTCTTTCCCAATATGGAGGGGGGTCTTTCTCAAGGAGTCCTCTCTTCTCATTTGGTGGCCAAAGGATTTGAGCTTCAGCTTCAGTGCCTGTCTTTCCAAAAGAGAGTCAGGATTGATTTCCTTTAGGATTGACTGACTGGATCTCCTTGCAGTCCAAGGGATTCTTCCAGCGTCTTTTCTCCAACACCCACAATTCAGAAGCATCGATTATTTAGCTTTCTCTGTGGTCCAACTCTCACAGCCATAAATCAATATCAGCCGAGGTGGCGCAGCAGTTAGAGTGCAGTACTGCAGGCCACTTTAGCTGACTGTGTTCAGCAGGTCAGCGGTTCAAATCTCACCGGCTCAAGGTTGACTCAGCCTTCCATCCTTCCGGGGTAGGTAAAATGAGGACCCAGATGGTTGGGGGCAATGTAAATATATACATACATTGCTTACTGGTGTACACCGCTTAGAGAGTGCTTGCACTTAAAGCGGTATATAAGTCTCATAAATAAATAAATAAATAAATTAGGAAAACCATGGCTTTGACCATATAGACCTTTACTCGCAAGGTGTGCCTTTAGTGGGTGGGAATTCTGAATTGCGGAGTGTTGCTACCATTCTGTCATCAGTCTTCTCTTTTTGTCACACATGCAAAGGGGAGAGAGAGAGAGAGGGAGGGAGGGAGGGGGAGAGAGAGAGAGAGAGAAAGAATGGAGAGAACAGAGAAGAGAGAGAGAAGGTAGAGAAAGAGGAGAGAGAGAGAGAGAAGAGAAGAAAGAAGAAAAGGGGAAGATAGAACACACAGAAAGAGAGGGAAAAGAGGAGAAAGAAGAAGAGAGAAAGAGAAAGAAGAGAAAGAGAAGAGAGAAGAAAGAAAAAGGGGAGAACAGAACAGAGAGAGAGACAAAAAAGAGAGAAGAAGGAAGAGAGAGGAGAGAGAAGAAAGAGAAAGGGGAGAGAACAACAGAGAGGAGAAAGGAGAGAGAGAGAGACAGAGAAGACAGAAGAAAGAGAAAGAGGGGAGAGAACAGAACAGAGAGAGAGAAAGGAGAAAGAAGGGAGACAGAAGAAAGAGAGAAGGGAAAAGAGTGAGAGAAGGAGAGAGAATGAATTTATTAAGCTGTGAATCTCTTCGTGTCTTCTCCCAGGTTCTTGCCCCTGCTGTTGAGTGGCTGGACTTCATCTCATACTTCCTTGCACCACTAGACCTAACAGATGCTGAGCCGGTGGTGCTCTATGGGAGGGAGTATTTGGAGCAGGTGTCACAACTCATCAATAACACCGACAAAAGGTATCGGAGAGACATTACATCCATCCAGTTATGACCAGGACAATGCGCGTTCCTCTGGATGGAGTCCATCTTTGCACATTGAAAAGGAAGTGTTCCGGGATGTGTGGCACAAAGATGGAGAACTTGGGTTGTTTCGTCCAGTATTTGTCAACCTTGGCAACTTTAAGATGAATAGACCTCAACACATAGCTGGCTGGGGGATTCTGGGAGTTGAAGTTCATGCGTCTTAAAGTTGCCAGGGTTGAAAAACACCGGTCTAGATGTTGCTAAATGGCAGCTCCAGCTTGGCAGCTTTTAGATGGGTGGACTTCAACACATGGCTGGCTGGGGGATTCTGGGAGTTGAAGTCCACGCGTCTTAAAGTTGCCAGGGTTGAGAAACGCTAGTCTGGATGCTGCCGAATGGCAGCTCATCTTTGAGCCAGTTAGCATAGCCAAGGATGGGAGAAGCTGAGCATCTGGAGGGCCACCACGTTCCTATAATACTGAGAGCTAGTCCATTTAAGTAATGCATGGACCACCCCATCGCCAAACATCAACACCAGCCAATTCCACTGTTCTGCGCTGAATGTTTTCAGTGTGTCGGTGACTGCTGGCAGACGGGAACCCATCTCTACCTACGTGGTGCAGAGGAGTAACAAGGAGACAGCTGGGCAGCTTTGATCTGCTCTTTCTGAACTCAGATGCCTTTGGTTGGCCATCCTGAGACCGAATGCTGAGCAGTTGGGCCTAGGCCTGATCTAGCACGGTGACTCCTGTGTTCTCACGTTGCTTGGAAAGGCAACTGGACTTCGTTTTTTTTTCTTGAAGATGCTTCGCTTCTCATCCAAGAAGCTTCTTCAGTTCTAACTGAATGTTTCAAAACTCCAGTTGCCTTTTGAAAAAAGAATCTTTCGGACTTCTCACCAATGGGTCCTCAGTTTTGAAGTCAGAAGCAAAAAAAGAGGAAGCCATGGAGTTTTCTTCCCTTCCTGCAGCTTTTAGCTTCTGGGCAACTAAGCAGTCGATGTGTTGACCAGACTTTATTTAAAAACTGGAGCCTTGAGATACCACCAGTTGTCTGTGTGGGATGGAACATGAGGGGGTTTGAAGCAGACAGATGCCAGGTACCCTGCTCAAATATAGGCCCACAGATTAGCCTGTTCTTAACACAACTTTACACCCTCTAAATCAGTGGTTCTCAACCTGTGGGTCGGGACCCCATTTGGGGTCGAACGACCATTTCACGGGGGTCGCCAAACAACGCAGTCCGCCATTTTTTTCCCCTTTTCCTTAGCTGTGCTACTCCCTTTTATTCTATTGGGTTTTAAAAGCCAATAGAATAGACTCTCTTGAATAGAGTCTAATTCTATTGGCTTTCAAAAACCAATAGGAATTGTCCAGGCTGTCTCTGCCCTGCTGAGCCCGCCAAAAGTCCCAGTCTGCAAACGGTGCTGCACCAGTTGAGTAGTCCTCGACTTAAGACCGGTTGAGTAGTCCTCGACTTACAACCGGTTGGGGGTCACGGCATTAAAAAGGTTGAGAACCACTGCTCTAAATAAACAGTTGGGGAGGCCAGGGTGATCGTTTAACTCAGTGGTTCTCAACCTTTCTAATGCTGCGACCCCATAATACAGTTCCCCATGTTGTGGTGACCCCCAACCACTTATACATCACCGGGTGCCAGGGGCGTGGCCAAAGAAAAGGGGGGGGGAAATGGCGGACAGCCTTGTTTGGCGACCCTCGTGAAATGGTCATTCGACCCCAAATGGGGTCCCGACCCACAGGTTGAGAACCACTGGTTTAACTGGTCTTGTTCTTTCTTTTTAGTGTTTTGAACAATTATATGATTTGGAATCTGATTCAGAAAACGGCTTCCAGCCTCGATCAGCGGTTTGAAACTGCCCAGGAGAAGCTATTGGAGACTTTGTACGGTACCAAGAAGGTAAGCAGATGCTTTAGAGCAGTGATTCCCAACATCAGCAGCTTTAAGATGGGTGGGCTTCAACTCCCAGAATCCCCATTCTGGCTGGGGAATTCTGGGAGTGGAAGTCTATCCGTCTTAAAGCTGCCAAGGTTGGGAAACGCTGCTTTAGAGCAGGAGTTTCCAAAAATGGTAACTTTAAGACTTGGGGACTTCAACTCCCAGAATGGAATTCTGGGAGTTGAAGTCCGCAAGTCTTACAGTTGCCAAGTTTGGAGACTGCTGTTCAGGGGAATGAAACAGACAGCTAGGAGTGCCTTTTTCTGGACAGGACCCGAAACAGCTTCCAGTTTGCAGACCAGTGGAGGTCCGTTAGCTTGGTGATCTGAAAACTAACCACTTCCAAACCGACCTGGGATTTTCTGCATGTTGGGAGGAATTTTGGGCGAGGATCCACCACTGTGTAGTCCCTTCAAAAAGCATGGATCCTTAACTCACTTGTCCTCTAAAACTCCATTGCTCTACTTTCCTTTGGGCCTCACTCTCTTTCTTTCTTTCTCTTTTTCTGGAGTCTTGCACACCGCGCTGGCAAACCTGCATTTCTAACACAGACGACACCCTGGGTTTCGCTCTGGGAGCCCTGTTTGTAAAAGCCACCTTCGACCGACACAGCAAGGAGATTGTGAGTATCTTCAGCCAGGTTGGTGAGATCCCACTCCTTTCCTTCTCTAGGTAGCCTCACCGCAAGTGCTTAGATTGAAAGCTGCCCTGTGCCTCTGTTGGACTCTCCGCTGGTGTGTTTGGAAAGCAGCAGGGAAGAAGGAGGCAGAGCTGACCTCAAGAAGGGAAGGGATAACTGTATTCTGCTCCGGGAAGTGGGGGGTGGGGTAGGGGGGTGGGGATGGGTGGGATTAAGTAGGTTAGATAAACAGAAATATTAATGTATAAAATAGGTAGAGTAATTTAGAGAGAGGTGCCGCTCGGATATTTCCCCTGAACTGTATCCAAAGAGGGATGAGAGGGGAGGAGGAAGGGATGGAAGGAAGTAGGATGGGAGGTGTAAGGACCCACCCCACTTTGCATCTTAAGAAGACAGAACTCTTGGAATGATTCTTCCAACAGGAATCCTTTATTAAGAGAAAATGGTTGCAGGCGTGCTAGACAGGACTTGGGGTTCAAGCTCTCCCATTCAAGGTTTTAAGGGGTTCCCCAGTAGTCCCACCCAATCAACCCCCCTTCCAGTGATAGTTTCAAGTATCACAATTCCACCCCCTTTCTTCTTTCTTCCGTCTGGATGGAGACTTCAGATAACTACATGAAAGGCAAATACCCTCCTTGGGTATGCTAACGCTTCGAGGTTACAATAAACACACATTCAGCATTCAGCTCTTTGAAGTGTACTGAAGGAAGTGAGGGCCATAAAGCCCCTTTGTTCTCCCCCTTCTCTCCCTCTTATGGCAGAATCCAGAGAAGGCAGAATTTGGGTTTTCTATATTTGATGATTAAAGATGAAATATAATTGGATTCTGACAGGAGGAAAGGATGAGGGGAGAGAGGTGAAGAGAGGAGAGAGGGAGGAGGGAAGTAAGGAAGGAAGGTAGAGAGGGCGGATGCAGTGGGGGGGGGGAGATGGACGAGCGACACCTAAGGTTATCTGTATGAATTTATTTCAAAGGTATTTTTTTTTATAATGTGTTGAAAGTATCAAATGTATTGAAAGATGAAAAATAAAAAAGAAGAAGGAAAGGGATAAGACAGCTCTTCCTTCAATACTTTGAAGCTCTCTAGTCCAGGGCTTTTCAACCTTTTCACCCACTGTATCACTTTTAGGATATGGCAACATCCGAGCACCACCAGTGGCCTAGCAAGGTGTCAAAAACTTGATGACCCCACCCCAAAAAGGAAAAAAAGTGATGAAGTACAGGTAGTCCTCAACTTACAACAGTTCACTTAGTGACTGTTCAAAGTTACAATGGCACTGAAAAAAGTCCCCCCCCCCAAGGCACAGCCGAGCAAGACACCTGCCTGCCCGCCCGGTGGCGCTCTTCCTCCTGTCCGAGGTTTCCATTGTTGTGAGCATTTCTGTTGAGGATTAGCAGCGGGGGGTGGGGTGGGGGTGTTTGGTTTTTATTCCCCCCGTCTGCTGAGTGGTTGCAGCAGGTTTTGGTCACTTCACAAGACCCTGGGACACTGTGACCGTCATACATATGAATCAGTTGCCAAGCATCTGAATGTAAATCACAAGACTCTGGAGATGCTGTAACATTCCAGCTGATCAGCGCTTCTTCTGGGCTCAGCAGAAGTGTCAGGACCAGCACTGAGCTCCAGCTGGAGCCTGGAGCTGATCCTGGCGCTTCCGCTGAGCCCTGACAGTCCTGCAGCTCCAGCCGTCTTTTGCTCAGGCTTATGCGGTGCTGCCACTGGTTCAGCTCATTTCCCTCCCCCGCTACCACTTTTCTAAGATGGTTGTGTACCACCTGCCAGGTGCCAATGTATCACAGGTGGTACCTGTACCACTGGTTGAAAAGCCTTGTTCTAGTACAGTGATTCTCAACCTTTTTAATGCCGCGACCCCCAACCAGTCGTAAGTCGAGGACTATTCAACTGATGCAGCACCGTTTGCAGAATGGGACTTTTGGCAGGCTCAGCAGGGCAGAGACAGCCTGGACAATTCCTATTGGCTCTTGAAAGCCAATAGAATTAGACTCTATGCAAGAGTCTATTTATCTATCTATCTTATTTATCTATTATCTCTCTATATCTATCTATCTATCTATCTATCTACCTATCTATCCATCCATCCATCCATTCATCCATCCATCCATGACTTAAGGGTAGTAATGTAAGCTTTGGCTCCCAAATGTTGATCACGTGATCATGGGGATGCCCCAAAGTGTGAAAAATGGTCATAAGTCACTTTTTCTAGTGCCATCGTAACTTCAGACAGTCACTAAATGAAAGGTTGTAAGTTGAGGACCACCCGAATTAACTCTCTCACATCCAGACCTCTTGAGATGTTTTCTTGCTTTTCTGTAAAGGAACAATAGCCAATGAATGAAAAAGAACAGTTGGGTGGTGGAATAAACTGTAGAGGCTGTTGAGATCTTTAAGCTGAGGCTGCAATAGGGAAGATACAACACCGAAGCATTGAGCTTTGAAATGATGATCAGGGGACCGGAGGCTAAAACATATAAAGAGCAGTTGCTGGAATTGGATACAGCTAGTTTAATGAAAAGAAGGACTAGGGGTGACATGATAGCAGTCTTCAGGGCTTGCCACAAAGAAGAGGGAGTCAAGCTATTCTCCAAGGCTCCTGAAGGCAGGACAAGAAGCAACGGGTGGAAACTAATCAAAGAGAGAAGCAACCTAGAACTAAGGAGAAACTTCCTGACAGTGAGAACAATCAAGCAGTGGAACAACCTGCTTCCAGAAGTGGTGAACGCTGCAACACTGGAAGTTTTTAAGAAGAGATTGGATAATCATTTGTCTGAAATGGTATAGGGCAGTGGTTCTCAACCTTTTTAATGCCGCGACCCCCAACCGGTTGTAAGTCGAGGACTACTCAACCAGTTGTAAGTCGAGGACTACTCAACTGGTGCAGCACCGTTTGCAGAACGGACTCAGCAGGGCAGAGAAAGCCTGGACAGTTCCTATTGGTTTTTGAAAGCCAATAGAATTAGACCCTATTCAAGAGAGTCTATTCTATTGACTTTCAAAAGCCAATAGAATAAAAGGGAGTAGCACAGCTAGGTTTTCCCAGTTGCAATGGATGGCTGTGAAAGTTGGACCATAAGAAAGGCTGAGCGCCAAAGAATGGAGGCCTTTGAACTCTGGTGCTGGAGAAGACTCCTGCGGGTCCCCTGGACTGTAAGGCGATCAAACCGGTCAGTCCTAGAGGAGATCAACCCCGACTGCTCTTTAGAAGGCCAGATCCTGAAATTGAAACTCAAGTACTTTGGCCACCTAATGAGAAGAAAAGACTCACTGGAGAAGAGCCTGATGCTGGGAAAGATGGAGGGCAAGAGAAGAAGGGGACGACAGAGAATAAGGTGGCTGGATGGAGTCACTGAAGCAGTAGGCTTGAGCTTAAATGGACTCCAAAAGATGGTAGAGGACAGGGAGGCCTGGAGAAATGTTGTCCATGGGGTCGCGATGGGTCGGAAACGACTTCGCAATTAGCAACAACAAAAGCACAGCTAAGGAAAAGGGGGAAAAAAATGGCGGACTGCGTTGTTTGGCGACCCCCGTGAAATGGTCGTTTGACCCCAAATGGGGTCCCGACCCACAGTTTGAGAACCACTGGTACAGGGTTTCCTATCTCAGCAGGGGGTTGGACTAGAAGACCTCCAAGGTCCCTTCCAACTCTGTTATTCTATTCTATTCTTATTGGAAATGGGTTAAATCCGTGTTTCTCAACTTTGGCTAATTGAAGATGTGTGGATTTCAACCCCCACATTTCTCCAGCCAGCCATGCTGGGAGTTCTAGTCCACACATCTTCACCTTGCCAAGATTGAGAGACCCTGGACTAGATGGGTCTCTGAGGTCATAACTCTTCGAAGGCACAAACCTGTTAGTCCTCTCCATCCTTACCTTCAGGCTGAGAACATGATTGCCGACATCCGTGCTGCCTTTGAAGACTCGCTAAACAATCTTGACTGGATGGACAAGAAGACCAAGCAAACTGCGAAGGAGAAGGTGATTCTGATATGTATTTATGTCAGGATTTGGATGCTGAGAATGGTCTTGTGGTTGTGAAACATTTGTGGAATAAACTGTACCTTTTGGGTTTTTTTTTTTTTTTTTAAAGTATTACTCCTCTGCAGGGCGTTTTGACTAATGACCATCGGTCACAATTCTTTTACCTGTACTTGCTAAATTGAAACGTTTGTTTGTTTCTTAATAATAATAATAATAATAATAATAATAATAATAATAATAATAATAATAATAATAGTAAAGTTGGAAGGGACCTTGGAGGTCATCTAGTCCAACCCCCTGCTCAGGCAGGAAACCCTACACCATTTTGGACAAATGGCTGTCCAGTCTCTTCTTAAAAACTTCCAGTGTTGGAACATTCACCGCTTCTAGAGGCAGGTTGTTCCACTGGTTAATTTTCTAACTGTCAGAAGTTTCTCCTTAGTTCTAGGTTGCTTCTCTCCTTGTTTAGTTTCCACCCGTTGCTTCTTGTCCTGCCTTCAGGGGCTTTGGAGAACAGCTTGACTCCCTCTTCTTTGGGGCAGCCCCTGAGATATTGGAATATTTGTTTGTTTATCTAGCACAGGGGTGTCAAACTCAATTTCATTGAGGGCCACATCAGCATTGCGGTTGCCTTGGGGGGGCAGGGGGGGCTATTGGGTGGGCGTGGATGGAGTGGGTATGGCCCACTGTGTGGGCGTGGCCAGCTCTACATCGTTCGTGTCAAGGGTGCCTGTGGGGGCCTGGGCAGGAGTGGGACAGATCTGAGGGTCTCTAGCAGAAGGGGGTGGGACCGGGGCAAGCGCCAAGGCATGGTCCATTTCTTCATTCCTCACAAAGGGGGACACCTCCCCAGCATGCACCCAGGGGGCGGGGCCAATATGGCAGGGGCTGGTTCCTTGTGTTTCTGGACGGCCTTGTGGAGCTAAGACTGAATGCGTTTCAGCATAGATGGCCACCACAAAATTGTACCTTGGCTCCCGGTCGGCCTGGGCCAGGGCCAAGGCAGCAGGGGCCGTTCCCTCACTGTTTCCAGGATGGCTTCGCGGGCCACATGAAACCACTTCGCGGGCTGCATCCGGCCCCCGCGGGGGCCTTGTGTTTGACATGTCTGATCTAGCAAATTAGGTCCTACTGGTTGAGCACCAGACAAGAAAGCAGGAGATCACCAGACAAGAAATCAGGAGATCACGAGCTGTCACAGCTTCCATGCCTTCCCCTTCTATTTGCCAGAAAAGGATGGCACTGGATGTCAAAATCTTAGGTTTTTTTTTTTTTTAATTTTGAGCTTCAAGCCAACTTTTGCACTCTCCTAGTCACCTAATATCATCAAATAAATAACATAAAAATACTGCTTTTGTACTGCTTCTCAGTATTCATTTTGTCTGATTCCAAGGTTATGTGGCTACTAGCTTCAAAACATGGCCTTAGCACATTTTAAGGATGGGTTGTGGGGCCCTAGGTGGTCTCTAAGCTTGGTTGTTTCCTTGCAGACATTTGATTACCCAATTAGGTAACATCATCAGTGCTAGAAAGGAGTGGTGTTTGCTCTCTGTTTATATACAACAGGGGTCTTCAAACTTGGCCCTTTTATGACTTGTGGACTTCAACTCCCAGAATTCCTCAGCCAGGCACACGTACCTGGCTGAGGAATTCTGGGAGTTGAAGTCCACAAGTCACAAAAGGGCCAAGTTTGAAGACCCCTGATATACAAGCAACTTGCCCTGCCAGTAGTATTGCTGGGAGTATTCTTGGTGGTTCCTTGATCTTGCTATTGCTTACAATTGGTTTAGTTACATTCAAATCTACAGCCTGTTTCTTTCTTTCTTTCTTTCTTTCTTTCTTTCTTTCTTTCTTTCTTTCTTTCTTTCTTTCTTTCTTTCCTTCTTCCTTCCTTCCTTCCTTCCTTCTTTCTTTCTTTCTTTTTGATTTTTTTTAAAATGTTGAGACGCTGGAAAAAAAATGCAGAGAAGAGCAACAAAGATGATTAAGGGACTGAAGGCTAAAACATATAAAGAACAGTTGTAGGAATAGGGCTTGTCTAATCTGATGAAGAGAAGGACGAGGGGTGACATGGTAGCGGTCTTACAATATGTGAGAGGCTGCCACAAAAAGGGGGAGGAGTCAAGCTCTTCTCCAAAGCAACAGAAGGCAGAACAAGAAGCAATGGATGGAAGCTAATCAAGGAGAGAATCCATCTAGAAAATAAGTGACATTTCCTAACGCTTGGAACAATTAATCAGCGGAGCAACTTGCCTCCAGAAGTTGTGGGTGCTCCAACACTGGAGGTTTTTAAGAGACTGGGTGGCCATTTGGCCATTTGCCTGAGCAGGGTGTTGGACTAGAAGACCTCCAAGGAACCTTCCAACTCTTGTTATTCTGAAATTCCTCTTCATTGGGGTTCCTTGCATTCTTGCAAACGGAGAGTCTCAGAAAGCCAGCCGTGTGATGCAGCTGCCAAAAAGGCCAACACAGCTAGGCTGCATTAACAGAGGGATAGAATCAAGATGACGTGAAGTGTTAATACCACTTTACAATGCCTTGGTAAGGCCACACTTGGAATACTGCATCCAGTTTTGATCACCACAATGTAAACAAGATGTTGAGACTCTAGAAAGAGTGCAGAGAAGAGCAACAAAGATGATTAGGGGACTGGAGGCTAAAGCATATAAGGAAAGGCTGCTGGAATTGGTATGTCTAGTTTAATGAAGAGAAGGACGAGGGGGGGGGAGACATGGTATCAATGTTCCAATATCTCAGGGGTTGCCCCAGAGAAGAGGGAGTCAAGCTATTCTCCAAAGCACCTGAAGGCAGGACAAGAAGCAACAGATGGAAACTAATCAAGGAGAAAAGCAAGGGGGACCTTGGAGGTCATCTAGTCCAACTCCCTGCTCGAGCAAGAGAACCTAGTCTAATGAAGAAAAGGACAAGGGCTGACCAGATAGCAGAGTTCCAATATCTCAGGGGCTGCCCCAAAGAAGAGGGAGTCAAGCTACTCTCCAAAGCGCCTGAAGGCAGGACAAGAAGCAACGGATGGAAACTAACCAAGGAGAGAAGCAACCTAGAACTAAGGAGAAACTTCCTGACAGTGAGAACAATTAACCAGTGGAACAACCTGCCTCCAGAAGCGGTGAATGCTCCAACACTGCAAGTTTTTAAGAAGAGACTGGCCAGCCATTTGTCCGAAATGGTATAGGTTTCCTGCCTGAACAGGGGGTTGGACTAGATGACCTCCAAGGTCCCTTCCAACTTTGTTATTATTATTATTGTTGTTGTTGTTATGTGCTTTTCTTTTCTATATAGGCTGATGCCATCTATGACATGATTGGCTTCCCTGAGTTCATCCTCGACAACAAGGAGTTGGATGATGTCTATGATGGGGTGAGAACCTAAGACAGCAGCTCGAAAGGCATGGAAATTGTTCAGGGCCTGGTTGGCTCAGAGAAACAAGGGAAGCTGATCCAGTTTTCCTTGGCGTGATACCGCGGGTTCAAACATTGGGTCAAATGTGGTTGATTCAGCTTGTTGCTTCGTATACTGTGTGTGAAGCCAGGCTTTGTAGCTTGTTCACCGTTGCATGCCTTAAGGGTGATTTTGCACCATGCAGAAGACTAAACTCTAAAATGGTTTGGGGTTAGTTTGTAGATCAGCGTGTTGTAAGAAAACAGCTAACTGCAGGGATGTCCAATCTCAGCCACTTTAAGACGTGTGGACTTCAACTCCCAGAATTCCTCAGCCAGCAATATTGGCTGTGGAATTCTGGGAGTTGAAGTCCACACGTCTTAAAGTGACCAAGGTTGGAGACCCCTGAGCTATTGTTTTAGCAAGCTGCACGGACCAAGCCATCTTCTGACCCATTTCTTAAGGCCAAGATGACGTGTGAATAATTTGTGCTTTTTTCTTCAGATTGTATTAACTGGAAACGCTAGATTTTCTGCATGAAAGGTACGTTATTATCCCCACTGCAAGGCTGAAATGTGTTTCTTTCGTCTTCTTCTTTCCAGTATGAGGTCTCGGAAGACTCTTTCTTTCAGAACATGTTGAATTTCTACAACTTCTCTGCCAGGTTTATGGCAGACCAACTGAGGAAGCCTCCCAACCGAGACCAGTAAGGATTCCCTTTCCCCCAATCAAGGCATAAGATAGAGTTAGGAAGTGGGGATGAATGCCCTCACTTTGACACAAAAATGCAAGAGGAAGAGGTAGACGACCCCTAGGTCAAAATCCAACACAGAAGTCAATAGTAAGACCAGGATTCAAGAAAAAGTTCCAGGATCTGTATTAAGATTCAGAGAACTAGACACTCAAGCTTGAATAAAGTCCTGGCAGAAGTGAATGAGTTAGTTCGTTTGTTCATTCATTTGTTTGTTTGTTTGTTTGTTTGTTCGTTCGTTCATTTGTTTGTTTGTTCGTTCATTCATTCAATCAATCAAAGTCTATCAATCTATCAATATGCTGTCCTTCTCACTATCCAGATTACTAAGTTAGTGAGATCCTTCCTTCCTTCCTTCCTTCCTTCCTTCCTTCCTTCCTTCCTTCCTTCCTTCCTTCCTTCCTTCCTTCCTTCCTTCCTTCCTTCCTTCCGGTGTCCATATCATTATCCAGACTACTAGGTTAGTCCCAACTAGGGTTGCATTCATGACGTAGAGCAGTGGTTCTCAACCTGTGGGTCGGGACCCCATTTGGGGTCGAACGACCATTTCACGTGGGTCGCCAAACAATGCAGTCCGCCATTTTTTCCCCCTTTTCCTTAGCTGTGCTACTCCCTTTTATTCTATTGGCTTTCGAAAGCCAATAGAATAGACTCTCTTGAATAGAGTCTAATTCTATTGGCTTTCAAAAGCCAACAGGAATTGTCCAGGCTGTCTCTGCCCTGCTGAGCCCCCAAAAGTCCCATTCTGCAAACGGTGCTGCACCAGTTAAGTAGTCCTCGACTTACGACCAGTTGAGTAGTCCTCGACTTACGACCGGTTGCGGGTCGCGGCATTAAAAAGGTTGAGAACCACTGACGTAGAGAAAAGCGACACTGATTTTATTTCAGCACCCATGACTCCTGGACAGAGGCTTTTACTCCAGAAGTCTCCATGAAAGCCAGCTGGATGATTTGGGGCCAATCACCAGGAGATTATGAATTCTAGTCCCACCTTAGGCACGGAAGCTCGCTGGGTGACTTTGGGCCAGTCACCAGGAGATTATGAATTCTAATCCTACCTTAGGCTTCAAAGCTGTCTGGATGAGTTTAGGCCAATCACCAGGAGGCCGTGAGTTCTAGTCCCACCTTAGGCACGAAAGCCGGCTGGAGGAGTTTGGGCCAGTCCCTCTCTTTGAGCCCATCCCACCCAACAGGGTCGTTGTTTATGGGGAGAGGAGGAAGGAGTATTAGGTATGTTCTCCGCCTTAAGCTATTTATCCAGTAATAAAGGTGGGATAGAAATCTAATAAACAAATAAAAATAATACATGTAGACAGTTAGCAGATTCCGTCGGGACTTTAAGTCTAACCCAGTGGTTCTCAACTTGTGGGTCAGGACCCCATTTGGGATTGAACGACCATTTCACGCGGGTCGCCAAACAATGCAGTCCACCATTTTTCCCCCCTTTTCCTTAGCTGTGCTACTCCCTTTTATTCTATTGGCTTTTGAAAGCCAATAGAATAGACTCTCTTGAATAGAGTCTAACTCTATTGGCTTTCAAAAGCCAATAGGAATTGTCCAGGCTGTCTCTGCCCTGCTGAGCCTGCCAAAAGTCTCATTCTGCAAACGGTGCTGCACCAGTTGAGTAGTCCTCGACTTACGACCGGTTGAGTAGTCCTCGACTTACGACCGGTTGGGTCGCGGCATTAAAAAGGTTGAGAACCACTGGTCTAACCCCTTTTTAAGATGCAAATGATGAAGGAGTTTGGTGTGTCCCCTCTACCCAAGAATAAGGCCAGGCTTTTAAAGAAGAACCGGCATTAAGATGTCCTCCAGAGACACTTCACAGTTTTGCTAAGCGTAGGTCTGCCTAAACAGGGCCGGCTGCCTCAATTGCTGATGGTGTTTTGTGGTGCTTTTCCAGGTGGAGCATGACCCCCCAGACCGTCAATGCTTACTATTTGCCTACCAAGAATGGCATCGTCTTTCCTGCGGGCATCCTCCAGGCTCCGTTCTATGCTCACAACCATCCCAAGTGCGTCTGGGTGCGCTGGTGATGGGTGGGAAGAAGAGACTTGGGGCACAGTAGTGTACAGGCAGGCTCAGTTCGATCCTTCTGATTAAATGCTCAGGTTGCAGAGAAGCAACATGGTACGTGCACAGGAAGGTGGGTTCAAAACGTTAATATGAGTCTGATATGAAGGTAATGTGCAGGTCTTCCTTCCCTGTTATAGAATGTCCAGATTAGAGTAAGATTTTTTTTTCTAAGATCTAAAATCATCATCTTTTATACCAGTGGTTCTCAACCTGTGGGTCGGGACCCCATTTGGGGTCGAACGACCATTTCACGGGGGTCGCCAAACAACGCAGTCTGCCATTTTTTTCCCCTTTTCCTTAGCTGTGTTACTCCCTTTTATTCTATTGGCTTTTGAAAGCCAATAGAATAGACTCTCTTGAATAGAGTCTAATTCTATTGGCTTTCAAAGGCCAATAGGAATTGTCCAGGCTGTCTCTGCCCTGCTGATCCCGCCAAAAGTCCCATTCTGCAAACGGTGCTGCACCAGTTGAGTAGTCCTCGACTTACGACCGGTTGAGTAGTCCTCGATTTATGACCGGTTGGGGGGGTCACGGCATTAAAAAGGTTGAGAACCACTGTTTTATACAGTGGATTTTTTTTATGGAGAATCTAGGAATTGGTGCAATTTATGTAATAGATAAATCAATTGTCCCCGTGCGTGCTTTGCATTTTGGACCAAGTTGTAGCTTCCAAGTTGTCTCCAAGGGCCGCACCAGGCAGAGCGCATTGTAGTAATCCAGATAGGAAGTGACCAAGGCACGAGTGACCTTGAGCCAAACGTTTGTTGCAATATGTTTGGGGTTCTGGGTCTTAACGTGCCTTATTTAAAAGCTTTGCCCTTTTCAGCTGTCTTTGATAGTCAACGCCTGACCTATTGCTTTACATGTTTTGTTTCCTTTTCTCTCTTGAGGGCCCTCAACTTTGGAGGCATCGGCGTTGTGATGGGGCATGAGCTCACCCACGCTTTCGATGATCAAGGTAACAGCCAGTTATTCCACCTGGGGCTTGGATGCTTGCAGCTCACCTTCGCCTTTACCTTCTCTAAATGTTGTTGTTGTTAGTTGCGAAGTCGTGTCCGACCCATCGCGACCCCATGGACGACGTTCCTCCAGGCCTTCCTGTCCTCTACCATCTTCTGGAGTCCATTTAAGCTCACGCCTACTGCTTCAGGGACTCCATCCAGCTGCCTCATTCTCTGTCGTCCCCTTCTTCTCTTGCCCTCCATCTTTCCCAGCACTAGGCCCTTCTCTAGTGAGTCCTTCCTTCTTATTAGGTGGCCAAAGTACTTGAGTTTCAACTTCAGGATCTGGCCTTCTAAAGAGCAGTTGGGGTTGATCTCCTCTAGGACTGAGCGGTTTGATCACCTTGCAGTCCAAGGGACTCACAGGAGTCTTCTCTAGCACCATAGTTCAAAGGCCTCCATTCTTTGGCGCTCAGCCTTTCTTATGGTCCAACTTTCACAGCCATCCATTGCAACTGGGAAAACCATGGCCTGGACTATACGCACTTTTGTTGGCAGGGTGATGTCTCTGCTTTTCAGAATGCTGTCTAGATTTGCCATAGCTTCCCTCCCCAGGAGCAAGCGTCTTTTAATTTCTTGGCTGCAGTCCCCATCTGCGGTGATCTTGGAGCCCAGGAAGATAAAATCTGTCACTACCTCCATTTCTTCCCCATCTATTTGCCAGGAATTGAGAGGACTGGATGCCATGATTTTGTGGCCTTTAGGTCCATCAACAGACCATGAGAAGCTAACAAGCACCTCTGTTGATCTTGTGGATTTGAAGCTTCTTCTTTTTCTTCTTCTTCTGATGTTCTCCCCGTTCTGTAACACTTCAAAACGCCTTATGGGTGGTCCTCAACGTACGACCACAACTGAGCCTCAAATTTCAATTGATAAGCGAGACAGTGGCTCAGGGAGTCTTGCCCCATTTTGCGACCTCTCTTGCCACGGTTGTTAAGTGAATCGCTGCCCTTGTTAAGTTAGTAACGTCGCGGTTAAGGGAATCTGGCTTCCCCTGTTGACTGTTTGTCAGAAGGTCGCAAAAGGGGATCCCACGACGCCGAGACACTGCAGCTATCATAAATAGGAGTCCGTTGCCAAGCATCTGAATTTTGATCACGTGATGCTGCAATGGTCATACATGTGGAAAATGGTCATAAGTCACTTTTTCCAGTGGCATTTCATCCCCATTACCTTGCACATTTTTTCGCCTAATCAAAGAGCTTCTACACACCCCTACTCATCAAAACACCGTCTTCTGCAATGGCACAGGATCCCTATACAGGCAGTCCTTGACTTAGAACAGTGATGGCGAACCTTTTAGAGACCGAGTGCCCAAACTGCAACCCAAAACCCACTTATTTATCGCCGGGTGCCAGGTGGGCGTGGCCCACTGGGTGGGCGTGGCTGTGGTGGTCATAGCATATTGGGTGGATGTGGCCAAGGTGGGCGTGATCACCTCAATGTTACTCGTGGGGAGGGCGCCTATGGGAGCGGGGCAGGGTTGGGGGGGATCCAGGGGGTCTCTGGCAGGTGGGGCGGTGGGAAGAAGGCTCGTCCTGTGGGGAGAGGTGAGGTGAGGCAAGGCGGGGGTGCCACAATCACAGGGCAAGGTGAGGCAGGGGCCGGGGCAGCTGTTGCCTGACACCATCGGCCCCTGCAAACAGAGGCCAGCAAGCGCATCCGGCCACGTGGGACCTCGGCGAGTTGAAGAGGGATGGTTGCCATCTCTGGGGCATGGCGCGCGTGCCCACAGAGAGGGCTCTGAGTGCCGCCTATGGCACGCGTGCCCTAGGTTCGCCACCACTGACTTAGAACAATTCATTTAGTGAATCCTGGAAAACAGCGGCTTAGGCAGCCTTCGAATTGCAAGCAAAATTGGGACCAAAAATTTCCATCGCTAAGCAAGGCGGTTATTAAAGGAATTGTGCCTGATTTTATGGCCTTCCTTACCATGGGTTGTTAAGCAAATCACTGCTGTTCAGTGAATCGTGTGGTCGTTAAGCGAATCTGGATTCCTTCCATTGACTTTGCTGGCCGGAAGCCTACTGGGCAGGTCGCAGATGGCGATCGTGTGAACCTGGGACATTGCAACCGTTGTGAATTTACACTGTTGCTAAGTGCCTCAATTTCGATCATATGACTGTAGGGATGTTGTGTTGGTCATAAGTGTGAGGACTGGCTGTAAGTCATTTTTTGCAGCGCCATTGTAACTTTGAATGATCACTAAAGAGTACAGAGAAGAGCAAGTCCTTTGGGATTGGGCGGCATATAAATAAATTAAATAAATAAATAAATAAATAAACAAAGATGATTAGGGGACTGGAGGCATATAAGGAACTGCTGCTGGAGTTGGGTATGTCTAGTTTAATGAAGAGAAGGACGAGGGGGGACACGATAGCAGTCTTCCAGTATCTCAGGGGCTGCCCCAAAGAAGAGGGAGTTAAGCTATTCTCCAAGGCGCCTGAAGGAAGGACAAGAAGCAACAGATGGAAACTAAGCAAGGAGAGAAGCAGCCTAGAACTAAGGAGAAATTTCCTGATAGTTAGAACAATTAACCAATGGAACAACCTGCCTCCAGAAGCAGTGAGTGCTCCAACACTGGAAGTTTTTACGAAGAGAATGGACAGCCATTTGTCCAAAATGGTGAAGGGTTTCCTGCCTGAGCAGCGGGTTGAACTTGATGACCTCCAAAGTCCCTTCCAACTTTATTATTATTATCGATCATCGCACAGTCAGCCAGATGTTCAGACTGGATTTGGCATTTTGTCTACCTATCGAGTCCTTACCCAGGACCTGGATAGGCAGATGTGGATGTTTGATGGTATTACAGATATCGTCGCAGGATGGAAGCAGTTCCTAATAAGGCTGCCTTTTGCAATTGACTAATAGCGAATTTGTCAATGCCAATGGTGTTCAAGTGGTGCTCCAGTTGTTTTGGGATTGCACCCAAGGAGCCTATTACTATTGGTACCACCCTTGCTTGCTTTTGCCACAGTCTTTCTATTTCTATTTGTAGGTCTTTGTATTTTGTTATCTTCTCCAGTTCTTTCTCTTCTATTCTGCTATCTCCAGGCACTGCCACGTCCACTATCCAGACTTTTTTGTCTTTCTTATCGACAATTGTTAAGTCTGGGGTGTTATGTTGCAGGTGTTTGTCTGTTTGAATTCTGAAGTCCCAGAGCAGTTTAATTTGATCATTTTCTATGACTTTCTCTATTTTATGATCCCACCAGTTTTGCTTACAGGCAAATGATATTTTTTGCAGATCTTCCAATGCACCATTGTTGCTACTTTGTCATGCCGCTGCTTGTAATCAGTCTGTGCAATCTTCTTGCAACAGCTTACCAAGTGGTCCACTGTTTCTTCAGCTTCTTTGCATATGCGGCACTTACTGTCTGTTGCTGTCTTCTCAATTTTGACTTTGTATGCATTTGTCCTTAAGGCTTGGTCTTGTGCAGCCAGAATTAGTCCCCCGGTCTCTTTCTTCAATTTTCCTGCTCTTAGCCATTGCCAGGTTTTATTATTATCTGCTTTCCCAGCTATTTTTTCCATGTATTGGCCATGTAGTGCTTTGTCTTCCCATGCCTCTATTCTGTTCTTCATTTGGTCTTTCTTGTAGGCCAGTTTGGTCTCTCCAGTAGTTAGTAAGCCTTCCTGATATACTAATTATTATTATTATTATTGTTGTTGTTGTTGTTGTTGTTATTATTATTATATGAATTGTTGGAAGTCAAGGCCTACCTGTATTTAGAACTAGTGAACATGTCTCTTCCTCCAAAACTTCTGAAGTTATCACAGGAGGAAGAACATCCACTTTGCTGTTATTAAAACTATATGCTATACAGGTAGTCTTATAACCATTCATGTAATGACCGTTCAATGTTACAATGACACTGAAAATGGTGACCTATGACCAGTTTTCACACTTAGGACCATTGCACTGTCTCTATGGTCACCTGATCAAAATTCAGACGCTTAGCAACTGGATCATATTTGTGATGGTTGCAGTGTCCTGAGTTCATGTGATCACTTCTGACAAGTAAGCCAGTGTGAGGAAGCCATTTTCACTTAACAACGGTGTTACTCATTTAGCATCTGTAGTGATTCACTTAAGAACTGGGGCAACAAAAAAGTTTGTAAAATGGAGCAAGGCCCACTTAACAACTGTCTCGCTTAGCATCAGAAACTGCGGGCTCAGTTGTGGTCATAAGTCGAGAACTACCTGTACTAGATGGATACTCTGGTCCAACAAAACAATTTTACTCCTTCCAGGCCGAGAGTATGACAAAGAAGGTAACCTGCGTCCTTGGTGGCAAAATTCATCCCTTGAAGCCTTCAAGAACCGGACGGAATGCATGGAGGAACAATATAGCAAATACCTCGTCAACGGAGAGCATGTCAACGGCAAACAGACGTTGGGGGAGAACATTGCTGACAACGGGGGTCTGAAAGCCGCTTACAACGTGAGTAAGCCCTGGGGAAAAATGGTCCACCCCACCAGAACACATAGTGCAGCACGGGGAGCAATCAGGTGAACCTCAAAATGTCTTCAACTGAGGTCCCAATTCCTGGAGGGAAGGGGAAGGATTCGCACACTTCCCGAACCTCAGAGTACAGATGTCCCTGTTGTTGGTTTTACAGGCTTACAAATCTTGGCTGAAGAAGAACGGGGAGGAGAAACACCTCCCCTCCGTGGGCCTTACGAGTCACCAGCTCTTCTTTTTAGGATTTGCACAGGTAAGCACATCGGGATGTTTTTGCTCTCCCTACTTTCTGTGCCCATTTTCCGGACCAGAGTCTTAAACCTGGTGCCTTCCTGTTAACCCTTTAGCCAGGACTAAAGACCAGAGGTAGCACCATGGATGATGAGGATGATGTTATCCACCATCTAACCAAGCGAGTGGTCAGAGGAAGCCACTGAAACTCATTGGTAGTCTCACATTGCAGTGAACAAAGACATACATTCAATTTTGCTCCTACTCAGATTGTTGGCCGAGCAGGCACAATAACAGTCAGGGAAATAAATGATTGAAGCCTGGGAAATGGCCCCTTGTCAGTCAACGGGAGTGTGGATTTACCACCAGCTTATCAGGTACTCAGGAGCCAATTGCCCGCCATTAACACACCAATCAGCCAATAGAAGGCACCACATAAATAGGATGCACAGAATAGCCCAAAGCACTCATTCCAGTAGAGAGAAGTTCCCTGAGGATGGGCTCCAGCACGAGTCCAAAAGCTCAGAAGACTAAACCTCTGGTCCCAGTGACTGACCCAGACTGGATCTTGCAATATTATCCTGGATCCTGCAATATTGCCTTCGTGTGTGATGGGGCATCCATTCAGTCATGCCCGACTCTTGGCAATATTATGGGCAAGGTCTCTCCACATTTTCCGATCTTTCACTACTACTTTGAGTGGTTCTTTGCTCTGGCTGGTATCAGCAATAATAATAATAATATAGTAATAAAGTTGGAAGGGACCTTGGAGGTCATCTAATCTAACTCCCTGCTCAGGCAGGAAACCCTATACCATATAATAATAATAATAATAGTAGTAGTAGTAGTAGTAGTAGTAGTAGTAGTAGTAGTAAAGTTGGAAGGGACCTTGGAGGGTATCTAGTCCAACCCCCTGCTCAGGCAGGAAACCCTATACCATATAATAATAATAATAGTAGTAGTAGTAGTAGTAGTAGTAGTAGTAGTAGTAGTAAAGTTGGAAGGGACCTTGGAGGGTATCTAGTCCAACCCCCTGCTCAGGCAGGAAACCCTACACCATTTCAGACAAAGGGCTGTCTAGTCTCTTCTTAAAAACTTCCAGTGTTGGAGCATTCACCGCTTCTGGAGGCAGGTTGTTCCACTGATTAATTGTTCTCACTGTCAGAAAGTTTCTCCTTAGTTCTAGGTTACTTCTCTCCTTGATTAGTTTCCACCCGTTGCTTCTTGTCCTGCCTTCAGGGGCTTTGGGGAATAGCTTGACTACCTCTTCTTTGTGGCAGCCCCTGAGATATTGGAACATTGCTATCATGTCCCCCCTTGTCCTTCCCTTCATTAAACTAGACATACCCAATTCCAGCAACCGTTCCTTATATGTTTTAGCCTCCAGTCCCCTGATCATCTTTGTTGCTCTTTTCTTTTTAGAATCTCAACATCTTTTTTGCATCATGGTGACCAAAACTAGATGCAGTATTCCAAGTGTGGCCTCACCAAGGCTTTGTAAAGTGGTATTAGTATTTCACGTGATCTTGATTCTATCCCTCTGTTAATGCAGCCTAGCACTGTGTTGGCTTTTTTGGCAGCTGCAGCACACTGCTGGCTCATATTTAAGTGATTGTCCACTAGGACTTAAAGATCCCTCTCACAGTTACTACTATTGAGCAAGGTACCCCCTATACTATACCTGCGCATTTGGTTTTTCTTGCCTAAATGTAGAACTTTCCTTTTTTCACCATTGAATTTCATTTTGTTAGCTTTGACAGTGACCATAACTCAATGGAACAGATCCCTGGTGCCCGTCATACCTGAACACTCACTCTGAGCCTGCTATTGTAGGCCATGTTCTCAGAGGCTTGTTCTGCTCCAGTGACTTTTCTTTTGGATAAGCAGGACTAGGGCCCAATTTGTCCTAAAATACTTGGAATTATGGAATTTTGGAATTAAAGAGCGCGCATATTCCTCTGGGTAGCAAGCAAAGGCAACATGGAGCTACGTGTGGATGGGATGTGAAACATAGGTCATCTAGACCAGGGCTTTTCAACCTTTTCGCCGATTGTACCACTTTTAGAATATGGCAATATTCAAATACCACCAGTCGCCTACAAGGTGTCAAAAACTTGATGACCAAAAAACCCCCTGAAAAAAGTGATAAAGTACAGGTAGTCCTCTCTCACCCCCTTTAATATCACCTCTCCCCCAACCCCCTTTAATATCTCTTCTCCTACTCCCTTTAATATTATCTTTCCCCATCCCCTTTAATATCATGTCTTCCCCCACCCCCTTTAATATCATCTCTTCTCCCACCCCCTTTAATATCATCTTCCCCCACCCCCTTTAATATCACCTCTTCCCCCACCCACTTTAATATCTTCCCCCACCCCCTTTAATATCACCTCTTCCCCCACCCCCTTTAATATAATCTCATCTCCCACCCCCTTTAATATCACCTCTTCCCCCACCCCCTTTAATATCATCTCTTTTCCCACCCCCTTTAATATCATCTTCCCCCACTCCCTTTAATATCACCTCTTCCCCCACCCCTTTAATATCACCTCTTCCCCCAACCACTTTAATATCTTCCCCCACCCCCTTTAATAGCACTCTTCCCCACTCCCTTTAATATCATCTCCCACCCCCTTTAATATCATCTTCCCCCACCTCCTTTAATATCCCCCCACCCCCTTTAATATCACCTCTTCCCCCACCCCCTTCAATATCTTCCCCCACTCCCTTTTATATCATCTCTTCTCTCCCCTTCAGTAGGACCAAGGCAATGCCTCATGCAGCTCCAGTTGAATCTCTGTCTGAAGACTGCACAAGGCTGCCTGTCATCCCCAATGAACTGGAGCCGCACGCACTGATCCTGGGTTCTCCGCAGGACCCAAGGAGGCAATGCCTCGTGCAGCTCCAGCTGAATCTCTGCCTGAATACTGGGTGAGGCCGCCTGCCACCCCCAACCAGCTGGAGCTATGCGCGCCGATCCTGGGCTCTCTGCAGGACCCAGGCAAAGTGTCGTGCAGCTCTGCTGAATCTCCACCTGAAGACTGCGGGAAGGGGAGAGAATGGTTGTGAAAAACACTCATAAGTCACTTTTTTCAGTGCTGTTGTAACTTTGAATGGTCACTAAATGAACAGTCACTAAGTCAAGGACTACCTAGTAGAAATAACAAGAATCAGTGTCTTGTGGTCCAAATCTGGTTCACCTAAAACAAATAAATCAGAATAACAGAACAACAGAGTTGGAAGGGACCTTGGAGGTCATCTAGTCCTACCCTCTGCTCAGGCAGGAAACCCTATATCATTTCAGACAAGTGGCTGTCTAGTCTCTTCTTAAAAACTTCCAGTGTTGGAGCATTCACAGCTTCTGGAGGCAGGTCGTTCCACTGATGAATTGTTCTGACTATCAGGAAATATCTCCTTAATTTGCTAAATCATTTTGAAGATACAACATAAATTTTTTTAAGATGCAAAATGCTGGGCTCCTAGTGAGGATTGGCAGTATGTTGGGCAGCCCTGAGCAAAGGCAGAACCAGACCTTATATACCCTTGGCCCAATATTTGCGAAGGCAAAACAAAGAAGGCAGACACAGTGTAAAATACAGCATGACATAGAATGTCGTTGATGCGGTGACCTTATTATTATTTATCCCTCCTTACTAGGTCAGCATGACAGCTATATTAAATCTGAGATATAGTCAGCAAATAGGAACAATTGGGATTATTGGGCCACAGGGTCCTGTTTGATTCCTACCCCTGTCACCACTCAAGGTCACTTCAGCTGGCTGTGAATGTTTCCTTACAAGGGCATTTTGTGCAATTCAGACATAACGGGGTGCATCTCATAGGTGTGGTAGTGAATTTAGCTGACATGTGCACGAGGGATATCTTTTCTATCAGCGCCCGCTGTGTTCGAACGTTGAATGAATGTCAATATTGAATAAGGAGAGCCAGTTTGGTCTAGTGCAGGGGTAGGCAACCTTGGCTCTTTTATGACTGGTGGACTTCAACTCCCAGAATTCCTGAGCCAGCCATGCTGAGGGGAAAGGGAGAGGTTTCTAAGCTGAGCCATGCTGGCTCAGGAATTCTGGGAGTTGAAGTCCACGAGTCATGAAGCAGCCTAGGCCTAGGCCAGAGGTAGGCAACTTTGGCTCTTTTATGACCCGTGGACTTCAACTCCCAGAATTCCTGAGCCAACATGGCTCAGTTTGGAAACCTCTCCCTTTCCCCTCAGCATGGCTGGCTCAGGAATTCTGGGAGTTGAAGTCCACTAGTCATAAAAGAGCCACGTTTGGCTACCCCAGGTCTAGTGGTTCGGGCCCCAGGCTAGAAACCAGAAGACTTGAGTTCTAGTCCTGCTTTAGGCATGCAAGCCGGCTTGGTGACTTCGGGCCAATCATTAAGAGGCTGGGAATTCTACTTCCACTTTAGTCATGAAAATCAACTGGGTGATTTTGGGCCGGTCACTCTCCCTCAGCCCAATTCATCTCACAGGTTGTTTTTGTTGAGGGGAATAGTATGGTAGGAGGAGGAAAGTGTATTAGATATGTTTGCCACTTGGAGTTCTTTGTAAAAATAACGAAGGTGGGATGATAAATAAATAAATAATTCCTTTGGCCACCCTGGTGAATTACAGGTAGTCCTCCACTTTAAGACTGGTTGCTTAAAGACTGTTCAAAGTTACGACGGATTCTGAAAAAGCTATTTATGACCTGGTTTTGACTCCCACCCATCCAGGGTCATGTGACCATATTTTGGATGCTGTAGTTGGGGGGGGGTATTATTTGACTCTGTGACAGAGTAAAAAAAAAAAAAGAGAGACACCAGAGGTTCTTACGACAAAATAAACATTTATTCGGTAATTAATCACAGCTTCCTGGAAGTCCCTCTAAACAAAAACTGCCTTGTTGTTTTCCAATAAATGTATAATTGTTCACAATGAACAAATTGTCTGAGTAAGGAGTCCCGCCCCTCACAGCAGCCAACAACCCAAGGAGGAGGATTCACACAGAGTCTCATTAATCATGGTTACTGCCAGCAAAAAAGGTTAAATGGCAGTTTTACTTGAAAACGAAGTACAAAAACAACACTAGGCTTAGTTTATTAGTGAGCACGTTAAGGAAGGGTCTCCGTAAATTGCCTGAACGTCTTTCCCTCAGATTGCTTCAATCTAGGACTGAGCCTCATTTAAGGGACAAGGTTGAAATGTCCTTCTTTCCTTATTTTCCCACTTTTTCCCCTTCAACTTCCAAGTACAGGTAGTCCTCGACGTACGACCACAACTGAGCCCAAAATTTCTGTTGTTAAGTGAGACAGTTGTCAAGCAATTTCCCCCTCCCATGTTTCTTGTCATGGTCGTTAAGCGAATCACTGCAGTTGTTAAGTTAGGAACACGGGTTAAGTGAACCCGAGTTCCCCCGTTGACTTTGCGTGTCAGAAGGTCGCAAAAGGGGATTCCGTGAGCCCGGGGACACTGCGACCGTCATAAATGCGAGTCCGTTGCCAACTGTCTGACTTTGGATCACGTGATCTTGGGGAACGCTGCAAAGGTTGTCAGCGTGAAAAAATGTTCACAAGTCCCTTTTTTCAGTGCCATCGTAACATTTGAATGGTCCGTTGTAAGCCGAGGACTACCTGTACAAGTAGTCCTCTGTAAATGACCACGCGTTCAGTAACTGTTGCAACACTGAACGAGAGGTACTTGCAACCACTCCTTGAATTCTGGCTGCTGCAGCATCCTTGTGGTCACGTGATCGCGATCCAGGTGCTTGGCAACTGGCGTGCACTTAACGGGAGTCCAAGGGCCCTGCGGTCACATGATCACCATTGGCAACTTTTCCTACTGGCTTCCCACAAGGAAAGTCAATCGGGACACCGGCAGAGCACTCTGGTAAGTCTCCTGGCCTTCCCATGCCCAGGTGTGGCTTGTGCCACCCTTCCAGGTAGGGCTCCCCCTGCCTCCCCTAGTGAAATTCTCCTGTGCTCCTTACCTGGGAGTCCCCCCACTTCCCACATGGTGACCCCTGTGCACTGGAGTTACGAGGGATCTGCGATTACTAGGTAATGTATCTGGGGGGGGGGGTGCAAATAACTAACAATCTGACTTGGTCTCTCTCCACACGTCATCCTTAGTGAAGTGTGCAAAGCAGCATCTGCATTTCCTGCGTCGGATAAGGAGAGCACATCTTTCTCCTTCTGTCCTGGCCACTTTTTACAGAGGCATGATTGAGAGCATTTTAACAAACTGTATCACTGTCTGGTTTGGTGGCAGCCGTGCCTCAAATGGAAGGTCCATACAGAGAGTGGTGAGGACAGCCGAGAAGATCATAGGAAGCTCGCTCTCTTGCATGCAGGATGCTGCTTACAAGCGCTATGTGCTTAGAGCTCAGAGCATCGTTAGGGACCCCACACACCCACTTTACGGTCTGTTTCTGTTGCTCCCCTCCTGGAGGAGGTTTCAAAGTATTTATAGCAGGACTACCCGATTTTGTAACGCCTGGGGTAAACTCGCAAGATTCGTTTTTCTCGCCAAGCACACGTATACATCCGAACTAAACTGTGTTGTTTGTGTCATAGCAAATATGTGGGTATGTGGGCGTTTGCATAATTTTTGTTTTTATTTATTTTTGTCATATTTATGTAGTGTATATCGGAGGTGGTGATCCTTTGAGAGCTGTATGCAACGAAATTTCATTTTAAAGTATGCCGATTAGTGTACATTCAAAGTGACAATAAAGTTATTATTCTGTTCTGTTCTGTTCTATCCTGTCCTGTCCTAGTCTGTGGTCACAGGACATTGCACTTTACGACTGCTTCACTTAAACAACCACAATCCTGGTCCCAATAGTGGTTGTAACCTGAGGACTACCTGCACATCCTCACAGAGAGCCAGAATATTGTACAAGTAGTCCTCACCTACAACCACAATTGAGCCCAAAATTTCTGTCACTAAGCAAAACAGTTGTTCAGTGAGCTTTGCCCCGTTTCGCAACCTTTCTTTCACATCACAGTCGTTAAGTGAATCACTGCAGTTAAGTTAGTCACTCGGTTGTTAAGTGAATCTAGCTTCCCTATTGACTTGGCTTGTCAGAAGGTGGCAAAAAATGATCACATGACCCTGAGACACTGCAACCATCACAAACAAGGATGCTGCAACGGTCGTAAGGGTGAAAAACGGCGACGAGTCACTTTTTCCAGCGCTTTTGTAACTTTGAACAGTCATTCAGTGAACTGTTGTAAGTCGAGGACTGCCTGTACCTCTTTACCCCCAAATCAACTTGGTTGAAATTTGGCTACTTCTGACCAAACAAACCCTGTACGGCTACACTTGAGGCACGCGACGCCTTTGACCTCTCTGCACCGTTAACGCTCTGCTCATCCTCTTCCTCCCAATGCAGGTTTGGTGCTCTGTGCGGACGCCGGAGAGCTCGCACGAGGGCCTGATGACGGATCCCCACAGCCCCGACAAGTTCCGGGTCATCGGCACTCTCAGCAACTCGCGGGACTTTTTAGAGCACTTTGACTGCCCAAAAGGCTCTTTCATGAACCCTGGGAAGTACTGTGAGGTATGGTAGGGGAAGGAAGGAAGGAAGGAAGGAAGGAAGGAAGGAAGGAAGGAAGGAAGGAAGGAAGGAAGGAAGGAAGGAAGGAAGGAAGGAAGGAAATAAGTTGCATCTCTGGCAGTTCCTGTACATACATCTGTCCAACCCTGCACAGTCCTGCTCACTTAGAAGCACTTGGCAACCCCTGCCTGGACATCTTCAGTTGGTGCACCGGGACAAGGAAAAGCAGAAGCTCTGCCTTCCTTCCAAGACTACTTTTCTTAGGTCAGGAAGGAGCAAAACGCACCGCTTCCTCCTCTTCACTAAGGCCCTCACTTCTTCCTCTGTGGGATCCGCGGAGACTCTCCAATTCAACGTCTTTGGCTTTTCTTCTCATCTCCAGCTAACTCGGGGCCTCGGCAATCCTTTGCAGAGCCCTGGTGCCATCTTTCTTCTGCTTCTCTAGGTCGGCTTTGCAGCTTTGCTGTTTGGGGGGAAGGGGGCGGTGGGTCTGGGAACCACACCGAGGAGGATGCTTTTCCTCTTTGAATCTCCAGGTTGGAAGGTGACTCTCTGGATTCAGTGGGGGAATTCCAACTGCAGCTTGCTAGGTTTATGGACATTACAGATTCGTCAGGGAACCCCTTGAAACGTGGGGTAGGCAACCTCGGCTCTTTTATGACTCGTGGACTTCAACTCCCAGAATTCCTGAACCTGCATGGGGGAATTATGGCCCCTTCATGACTCGTGGACTTCAACTCCCAGAATTCTTGTGCCAGCATGGGGGAACTATGGCTCCTTCATGACTCGTGGACTTCAACTCCCAGAATTCCTGAGCCAGCATGGCTCAGCTTGGAAAACTCTCCCTTTCCCCTCAGCATGGCCGGCTCAGGAATTCTGGGAGTTGAAGTCCCCGAGTCATAAAAGAACCACGGTTGCCTAGAACATGGATCCAGAGAACACTACTAGAATCAGAGCAGAATCCATCCAGTTTCTATGGAAATTCTCCATCATCCAGGTCACGGTTGTCCCAAAAGTGGTTTTTCCAGAGGAAAGTGGACTTACGTTGTTGTTTTCATTTGAAAACATTTCACTTCTCACCCAAGGAGCTTTTTCGGTTGTGAGGAAGCTGAAGAAGCTCAAGAAGCTTCTCGGATGACAAGCGAAATGTTTTCAAATGAAAATAAATAAATAAATAAATAAGAAAGTCCAATTGCCTTTTGGAAAAAGCACCTTTGGGACAATCCACCCAGTTTTACAGATTTGTTCCCAACACACCAGAAGCATTGCAGGGAGAACGGGGAAGTGTAATCCTACTGGATCGGAGCAGAATCCACCCAGTTTAGCAGATTTCTTCCCAACAGGCCAGCGAGATTACCTGTAAGAAGCTTCTTCCACCGAGCACAGGAAGGTTGCAATTACCCACGATTACAGGTGTAATCAGCGATACCCTGCTCCTGAACCTGAAGGCATCCTATAGCTAATTGCCAGGATTCAAATTTGTCTCTCATGCTATATGTTTCATAAGCCATCTCAGTTGCTGTCGAGATCTCCTGCATGGCTTAAGGCAGTGGTGGCGAACCTATGGCACGTGTGCCAGAGGCAGCACTCGGAGCCCTCTCTGTGGGCACACGTGCCGTTGCCCCAGCCTTGCCTCCCCCTGTGACCCCCTCCTCACCAGCAGCCCCCCTGGAGGAGAGTCGCCCCCGAGCATGGCCCACACGGAGCAGCGCAGCCAAGGACATGGCAGCCAGGCAGCGTAGACAAGACTCTGCCCTCACCCCTATGATGCTGCGGGGTGCGGGCAGAGGGCATGGCCACCATAGCGCTGCTGGGCTGCCTAGGTGATCTGCGGCGGGCCCTGGAGTCCGTGAGTGGTCCTGTGGGCAGGCGGGGCAGGGGATGGGGGGCAGAGTGGGGGCAGGGCAGGGGGGTGGAGCGGGGGCACAGCCAGTTTTGGGGCACTCGGTCTCTAAAAGGTTTGCCATCACTACCCGAAACCAAAATGCAGTGTTTCCCAATCTCTGCCACTTTGAGCTGTGCGGCCTTCAACTCCCAGAATTCCCTTGCCAGGGAATTCTGGGAGTTGAACTCCGCACAGCTCAAAGTGGCAGAGATTGGGAAACACTGATTAGAGAGAAAGTGAAGAACAGGGCTTGCCAGCTGATATAGGCGCCACATGAATTTCCCTTTCTTTTATTTTAACTGAACAGATTCCACAGCTTGAAAAAAAAGTTTTGGAAAACTCCCGGATCACTGTCCGGCTAAGATGCACCAGGGAGCATTTATCCCTTGGTGTCAGGGTGTAATAAATTAAAAGGGACTGGCTATCTTTCTCCTGCCAATCAAGCATCCAAAGAAGAAAACCAGGGTTGGGCATACAGACTATTCTCCGTCGTGCTTCTTTCGAATCGGGAGCCAAAGTCATTTGTGTTGCATAGGCAAAAGGAGAGAAGATTGTACACCTGCCAAAGCACAATCCCACCCAATCACTGTGGAAAGACAAACTGCCTTTTTTTCGTCCGCTCGCGTCGCATCTCCCCAAGCTTCGTACCCCTTTTTCACAAAAACAGAGGTGGACCCCCCTGGATTGGTTGCTAGGAATCCCGCGCAGACGCAGATCTCCCTCTTCAAAGCACACACACAAAAAACCCCAAACCTATCCCAAGGATATCTTCGGAATCTGGCAGGAGACGGGAGAAGCGAGGAATGAATTTGAACTCGCTTCCAACGCGGTTTCCTTTAATCCTTTCCCAAGCTCGCAATCGAATCCAAATTAGCTTGGCTGAGAAATTCCAAACTTGCTCCCATCTTAATTGAGCTTGGTGGAGATTAGTGCCTTGGATTAGTGTGTGTGTGTGTATGTGTGTGTGTCTAAAACTGGGGTGGGGAGGGGGGAGGGAGGGAGGGCTGCTCTTGATGTCTTTACTATTAAAAGCACTTTCCGCTTGACTGTTTCAAAGTGGACTTCAAAACTGTGTGACGGAATAAAAAAAAAAGTGGAAAAAAATCCATTGGAGAGTACAGCCCTGTTTCCTCTTTCCGGCCTAGTAGGCCACAAATCAGGAGTGACTCTAGATCAGTGGTTCTCAACCTTTTTAATGCCGCGACCCCCAACCGGTCGTAAGTCGAGGACTACTCAACCGGTCGTAAGTCGAGGACTACTCAGCTGGTACAGCACCGTTTGCAGAATGGGACTTTTGGCAGGCTCAGCAGGGCAGAGACAGCCTGAACAATTCCTATTGGCTTCTGAAAGCCAATAGAATTAGAGTCTATTCAAGAGAGTCTATTCTATTGGCTTTCAAAAGCCAATAGAATAAAGGAGTAGCACAGCTAAGGAAAAGGGGGAAAAAATGGCAGACTGCGTTGTTTGGCGACTCCCGTGAAATGGTCGTTCAACCCCAAATGGGGTCCCGACCCACAGGTTGAGAACCACTGCTCTAGATTGGCAGTTTAGTTACAGGAGGGCCAATTGTAAATTTGTTCCGAATTGGGGCTATTTAGACCTGCTGATATTTCCATGCTGTACCTGAGCAAAGATTTTAGACTCTAGACCAGTGATGGCGAACCTATGGCACACGTGCCAGAGGCGGCACTCAGAGCCCTCTCTGTGGGCACACCTGCCGCCACCGCCATCTCGCGCAAGTCCATTAGGCCACCGCTGGTGCCCAGAGTGGCAGCCCCACCCAGCACAAAGGAGGTGAAGCAGCTGGCTAGCAAGCTTGATTTTAGAGGTGGTAGAGCGTGCCCCCCTGCGCTCGCTGGCCTCTGTGTGTGCAGGGGCTGATGGTGTCAGGCAGCGGCCGCCCCTGCCTCACCTTGTCCCGCAGCAATGGCACTCGTGCCCTACCCCCTGCCTCACTCTGCAGGACGAGCCTCCTGCCCACTGCCCTACCCATCAGAGACCCCCTGGATCTTCCCCAATCCTGCCCAGACCCCACAGGCATTTATTTATTTATTTATTTATGAGACTTATATACCGCTTTAAGTGCAAGCACTCTCTAAGCGGTGTACACCAGTAAGCAATGTATTTACATTGCCCCCAACAATCTGGGTCCTCATTTTACCTACCCCGGAAGGATGGAAGGCTGAGTCAACCTTGAGCCGGTGAGATTTGAACCGCTGACCTGCTGAACACAGTCAGCTAAAGTGGCCTGCAGTACTGCACTCTAACTGCTGCGCCACCTCGGCTCCCCCTATGAGCAACATCTAGGTGGCCACACCCACCCCAGCCACGCCCACTCAGTCTGCGTGTCCACTGCAGCCACGCCCACCCAGTGGGCCATGTCCACGCCCACCTACCCCCCCCCCCGAGGGCACCACCATGCTGGTGCGGCCCTGGCACTTTGTGATAAATAAGTGAGTTTTGGGTTGCGGTTTGGGCACTCGGTCTCTAAAAGTAAGGTGACCAACTTTTTTACAATGAAAAGGAGGACACAAATAAATTGAAGAAGAAAATATCGTAAACAAAAGAAACATTTTATTCATTGCAACAATAATACAGACAACTTGCATGTGCAAAGTTTGCCAGCCGGGTGTTTTGGCGTGCTCAGCAGCAATTCCTATTGGCTTTCAAAAGCCAATAGCAGAAGTAGCACAGCTCATGCAAAAGTTGAAAAAAAAACATCAAAAAAAGGTGCCGGAACGCCGTTCCGAGCATTCTATGAGGGAAAAAAAAGCCCTGCAGATTACTCTTCAAATATCAAAAAGGAGGACATGAAGGAGGACACTTTTCGAGGGGGACAGAACTCACAAAAGGAGGACTGTCCTCCCTAAAGGACGATGGTTGGTTACCTTACTAAAAGGTTTGCCATCATTGCTCTAGACCAGTGGTTCTCAACCTGTGGGTCGGGACCCCATTTGGGGTTGAATGACCATTTCATGGGGGTCGCCAAACAACGCAGTCTGCCATTTTTCCCCCCTTTTCCTTAGCTGTGCTACTCCCTTTTATTCTATTGGCTTTTGAAAGCCAATAGAATAGACTCTCTTGAATAGAGTCTAATTCTATTGGCTTTCAAAAGCCAGTAGGAATTGTCCAGGCTGTCTCTGCCCTGCTGAGCCCGCCAAAAGTCCCATTCTGCAAACGGTGCTGTACCAGTTGAGTAGTCCCCGACTTACGACCGGTTGGGGGTCACGGCATTAAAAAGGTTGAGAACCACTGCTCTAGACACAGGCTGATATTCCAGGGTTCGTTTCGTTAAAATAAATTTAAAAAAAAAAGAACAACGAAACTTGAAAGTAGGAAATAATATATCAGAACACAGAATATAGGTAGTCCTCGACGTACGACCACAATTGAGCCCAGAATTTATGTTGCCAAGTGAGACATTCGTTAAGGGAGTCTTGACCCCTTTTACAACTTTTCTTGCCCTGTTTGTTAAGGGAATCGCAGTGGTTGTTAAATTGGTAACACTGGTTGTGAAGTGAATCTGGTTTCCCAGATTCTGAATTTGCTTGTGAAAAGGTCACAGACGGGGATCCCGTGACCCCGGAAAACGGTGACGATCATAAATATGAACCAGTGGTCAAGCATCCAATTGTAAATCAGGTGACCGCGGGGAAGGCTGCCACGGTCATCCAAGTGTAAAAAAACGGTCATAAGTCCCTTTTTTCAGGGCTGTTGTAACTTTGGATGGTCACTAAATGAATTGTCGTAAGTCAAGGACTACCTGTATTAGGGTTGGAAGGGACCTTCTAGTCCAAACCCTTGCCCAACCTCCTATACCAGGGATCTTCAAACTTGGCCACTTTAAGACTTGTGGACTTCAACTCCCAGAATTCCTCAGCCAGTCCTCACGGCTGGCTGAGGAATTCTGGGAGTTGAAGTCCACAAGTCTTAAAGTGGCCAAGTTTGAAGACCCCTGTCCTATACCATTCTGTACTTTCTTTGGGCTTTATGGGATGGATACACATGATCATAGAAAATAACAGAGTAACAAGGACAGAATAACAGAAAGGACCCCAGAGATCTTCTAGTCCAACCCTCTGCTCAAGCAGGTGACCCTAAGCCAGGGGTAGGCAACCGTGGCTCTTTTATGACTTGTGGACTTCAATACCCAGAATTCGTGAGCCAGCCATGCGAAGGGGGAAGGGAGAGGTTTCCAAGCTGAGCCATGCTGGCTCAGGAATTCTGGGAGTTGAAGTCCACGAGTCATAAAAGAGCCAAGATTGCTTAACTCTGGCCTAGGCCTAGCCCACTTCATGACTCGTGGACTCAGATAAAAACTAGTCAAGGAGAGAAGCAACCTAGAACTAAGGAGAAACTTCCTGACAGAACAATTTACCAGTGGAACAACCTGCCTCCAGAAGCGGTGAATGCTTCAACACTGGAAGTTTTTAAGAAGAGACTGGACAGCCATTTGTCTGAAATGGTATAGGGCAGGGGTAGGCCACCTTGGCTCTTTTATGACTTGTGGACTTCAACTCCCAGAATTCCTGAGCCAGCCATGCTGAGGGGAAAGGGGGAGGTTTCCAAGCTGAGCCATGCTGGCTCAGGAATTCTGGGAGTTGAAGTCCACGAGTTATGAAAGAGCCAAGGTTGCCTACCCCTGGTATAGGATTTCCTGCCTTAGCAGAGGGTTGGACTAGATGACCTCCAAAGTCCCTCCCAACATTATTATTATTACTATTGAGGATCATCGCGCAGTCAGTCAGATGTTCAGACTGGATTTGGCATTTTTGTCTACCTATCGAGTCCTTACCAAGGACCTGGGACAGGCAGATGTGGATGTTTGATGTTATTAGAGATATAATCACAGGATGGAAGCATCATCATCATCATCATTATTTCCACAAGTCTTAAAGTTGCCAACTTTGAAGAACCCTGGCCTACAGTACTTGGTTCTCTCAATAGCCGGAGATTGAAAGAACTTGGCCCCGAGGCCTGATGGGATTCGTAGTTCTCAAAGAGCGCAAATGCTTATAACCCCCGCTTGCACTGAATCGCGAGACTGAGCGTAGCTCCTCGCCAGAACTATAAAGAGGAAGAAGGCATGCCGGGAGTTGTGGTTTTCAAAGCAAGAAGGCATAGAGACGGAAAGCTGGCTTAGCGGGCCTAGGAACTTTATTTCCCATGCACCTTTGCGTCACCGTAGTCGGTCGACAAGGCTCCGGTACTGCTGTTTGGTTCGAAAGTGAAACAGGAAGCAAGCTTCGGGTCGTCGATGGCCATTAGTCAATTTTCCTTGTAGCAGCTTGGTAAGTAAGCCTGCCGCCTCTGGCAATCTTTAAAACAAAGGTGCTTCTGAGCATGTGCAGAGAGTGCCGATGGATTAGGCTCCAGGCAGGCGCAGGGGTGGGGGAAAGACCTCTGTTTCCCAAAACTTTTAATTTCTCCTTGGTTTTAAATAAACTGACTTCGCTGGCGTTATTGTACTTTTTCTTTTCCTTGATTGTTGTTCTGAGCTGCCTTCTGTGTTTTTGTCAGCAGAAAGGTCCGATTTAGTAGCAAATGTATATTTCAGAAAATTTGATACTAAATGCATATTGCAGAAAATTAAGGACTTTTTCTAGCAATTTTGACCCAGCTGTGGTCTTTGGCCAGAAACCCATTTTGGTATGGAGGAGAGCTTCAAGGTACACATCCAGTAAAGCATCCTTATGCAGATAAGCCACTCAGATTGCTTTTATTCAGCTTACTTTATGTCCTCATTGACCAAACTTCTCTGAACAATTGTTTTCAGAGCATCCATGCCATACTCTCTTGAATAAAAGCATTAAATCAGTGTTTCTCAACCTTGGCAAGTTTAAGGTGGGTGGACTTTAACTCCCAGCTGGCTTAAGTCCATCTTAAACGTGCCAAGCTTGAGAAACACCACTTATATCACTGCAGAGCTCTCTGAGATTGAAACATATTTTATAAGGGTAGCCCAAAAATGCCTTGAAAGGCAAAAGAGCAGCCTGAGAATTCACAGAGAAGATATGAATGGAAAACTATTTTGCAGAGACAGCTGAAAAAACCCTTGAAAGTTAAAAAAAACAAAAAAACAAATCTCAAACTTCAGAAAGGGGATTTTTCTTTTCAAAGTTGGAAGTCAGCTGGGAGGAGTTACAAGCCCATGAGTTGGAAAGGAAGATGACAAATGAAAGTTTGTAGAATATGAGAAATCAGTTGACAAATGAGGCTGTTATCCAGAAATAAGAATAAATTAAGAAGCGACTGGACAGCCACTTGTTTGAAATGCTGCAGGGAGAGTCTCCTGTTTGAGCAGGGGGTATGACCAGAAGACATCCAAGGCCCCTATTCTAAATTGAAAAATATCTTCCACATGCATTGTACAAATAGATATATATTTTAGTCGCTCAGTCTCCAGTTTAACTTGTTAAATGGAAACTAGATGGAAAAGGAAGGTTTCTCTTAATATAATATAAAAGGTCCAGCAACCTGAGTGATCTAAAAAAAAAAAAAAAATGGCCTTGAGACTTCCTGTTACTCAAGGGAACATTTGACTCACGATGCAAACACAGAGTGGTAATGTACAGGTCGTCCTCAACTTAGGACCACAGTTGAGCCCAAAATTTCTGTTGCTAAGTGAGGCGGTTAAGTTTTGCTTCATTTTACAATTTTTCTTCTCCCGGTTGTTAAGTGAATCACCGCAGTTTTTAAATTAGTAACACTGTTGTTAAGTGAACCTGGCTTCCCCACTGACTTTGCTCGTCAGATGATCCCAAAAGATGATGACATGACACTGGAACCGTCGTAAATATGAATCAATTGCCAAGCTTTCACATTTTGATCACATGACCTTGGAGATGCTGCAGTGGTTATAAGTGTGAAAAGCAGCCACGTCTCTTTTTTTTTCGTGCCATTGCGACTTCAAACAGTCATTAAATGAATAGTTGTAAGTCGAGAGCAACCCAACCTGTACCAGGGTTTATCTGTTTAATATTCCGAGTTGTTTTTAGACCCTTGATAATATCGGATTTGCTGTTTCAACAGACAAAGCTTTTTATGCTTTCTTTAAAAGTCTTTAATTTGAAGAAGAGACACCAATTATAACCGTGGTGGCGAACCTATGGCACGGGTGCCAGAGGCGGCACTCAGAGCCCTCTCTGTGGGCACACGCGCCGTCACCCGGTCCTAGGCCTTCAGCTGGGTTTTATAAAACCTTTTCACTTTAGGTCTCCGCCACCATGTGCCCCCCCCAAAAAAGGTTCACTTAATCAGTCAATTTCAACTTCTCACTGGAAAAAAAAAAGATCTTGCAAAGTTGGAATTGATTGATTGAACTTTTTAGTCTCACCCAGTCTGCTGTTACCACCGCAGCTATGCCCACCCAATGGGCCACACCCACCCGGCACTCGACGATGCATAAGTGGGTTTGGGGTTGCAGTTTGGGCACTCGGTGTCTAAAAGGTTTGCCATCACTGAATTATAACATAAGTCCAGGCAAAATATTGAGCTCTATGGGAAGATCAGCCTGGACCTACCTTATTGCTAAGACTTGGTATGCTGATGTATTGGTTCTCCATCTTGCTTTCTTGTTTTGTTTTGGCAAGGGACTAACGGACTGTGAGGTGTCTTGCCATTCCTGGATGGTAGCTGAGTTCTTATTCGGGTTTTGTTTTTTTTTTCTTCCAGGGTCAGCTTCGATGGATACTTTTCCCTTTACGATAGGAGAAGCAATCTGTTTGGGGTCAAGCCTGGCCTTTTCTGGCCTCTTTTATTACCTGCACAGGAAGAAAGCCAAGGTGGTGTCCAAAATCCAGGTGTGACATTTATCTATTATTTTAGTTAAAGCAGTGTTTTTCAAACTTGGCGATCTTAAGATCTGTGGACTTCAGTATCCAGAATTCCCTAGCCAGCATGCTGGAAGTCGAAGTCCACACATCTTAAAGTTGCCAAGTTGAAAAACATTGTTTTAGAGGATTTCTAATGTGTGCTTCTTGATTTATTTAAAGAATTGTTCTTAAGCATTGCGACTCCAGGCAGCATGCCATAAACTAAAGCAACCACACAATGTAAAAATTCCAATTAAAATCTATCCAGGTATTGTGTAATTGTCCTTCCCTTGCTCTTGAGAAAGCAAGAATGGTGTTTTATAGTATAATATTTATATTTTCCAGCACTTTAATTATTGTTCTGATGAAAGGTATAACCTCTTGTAACATCGGCATTATCTTGCATCCATAAATTGGATTCAAATGTGTTAAGATTAAGATTAAGCTTAATCTTAAATCACCCAGCCAGCTTTCATGCCTAAGGCAGGACTCATAGCCTCCTGGTGATTGGCCCAAACTTATCCATCTGGCTTTCATGCCTAAGGCAGGACTAGAACAGTGTCTCCTGGTGATTGGCCCAATATCACTAGCCAACTTTCAAGCCTAAGGGAGGGACTAGATGTCACAGTCTCCTGGTAATTGTCTCAAAGTCACCTAACCAGTTTTCCTATTAAAGAGGGACCAGAACTCACTGTCTCCTGTTGATTGGCCCAATATCATCTAGCCAGGTTTGCTGCCTAAGGCGGGACTAGAACTCACACTCTCCTGGTGATTGGCCCAAAGTAACCCATCTCATGCCTAAGGCAGGTGTCAGCGCTGCAACATTGGATGTTCTTGCTTTGACAACATATGGAGATGCAGCCATTTTCCTTTACTTTATGTTTTACTCTTAGAGTTAGAATTAGATGATACTGGGGGAGAGGAGGAGGAGGAATGAGCATGGGAGATTAGTTAGACATAACAATACTGTATAAGGGTGAGAATTAAGGCTTTTTGAAATAAGAGATGATAAGAAATGGCAGTAGAAGAACTGGAGGAAAGGCCTTCATTTCAAACTAATTGGAGAATGTGATTTATGACTGTTAATTAGAGGGAATTGTGCTTTGATACTATGTGCTCAGGGGAGGGGAATTCAGATTTTGGCTTGGCCTATGTACCTGCCGATGTTATGCTGCTCGAATAAAGATTCTTTAAGGGAAACCCTGCCTCGAAGTTCTTTGAAGAGTTTCATCTGTCGGAGCCATGACATTAGGTCTAGAACAGTGGTGGCGAACCTATGGCACGCGTGCCAGAGGCGGCACTCAGAGCCCTCGCTGGGCACGTGCACCATGCTCCGAAGATGGCAACCATCCTTCTTCAACCAGCCGCCCATTAACTCACCAAGGTCCCACATGGCCAGATGCATCCCAGCAGCCATGCGCTCGCTGGCCTCTGTGTGCAGGGGCCGATGGTGTCAGGCAGCAGCCGTCCCGGCCTCACCTTGCCCTGTGACAATGGCACCCCCGCCCTGCTTCACCTTGCCTCACCCAGCAGGACGAGCCTCCTGCCACCGCCCCACCTGCCAGAAACCCCCTGGATCTCCCCCAACCCTGCCCAGCCCCCACAGGCGTCCCTCCCCATGAGCAACATGGAGGTGATCACACCCACCTTGTCCACACCCAGCCAATCTGCCATGACCACCACAGCCACGCCCACCCAGTGAGCCACACCCACCTGGCACCCGGTGATAAATAAGTGGGTTTTGGGTTGCAGTTTGGGCACTTGGTCTCTAAAAGGTTCACCATCACTGGTCTAGCATTCACCATCCCCTGTTTTCTAGGCCAGCACCCTAACCACTTTACCAAAGTGACTCTCAGTCATCCCTTTTGTTTGAGTGGTCTTAATTCAGAACAGACAAAATGAATCAGCTTCAGGCAATGTGCAGTTCTAGTCATTAGCCCACGACTGTGCCAGTTGCTGAACAAACAGGTGTTTCATCTGATGTACAATAGCAGCGTTTAAGTTCGTGTAAGGCAGTGGTTCTCAACCTGTGGGTCAGGACCCCATTTGGGGTCGAACGACCATTTCACAGGGGTTGCCAAACAACACAGTCCGCCATTTTTTTCCCCCTTTTCCTTAGCTGTGCTACTCCCTTTTATTCTATTGGCTTTCGAAAGCCAATAGAATAGACTCTCTTGAATAGAGTCTAATTCTATTGGCTTTCAAAAGCCAATAGGAATTGTCCAGGCTGTCTCTGCCCTGCTGAGCCCGCCAAAAGTCCCATTCTGCAAACGGTGTTGCACCAGTTGAGTAGTCCTCGACTTACGACCGGTTGAGTAGTCCTCGACTTACAACCGGTTGGGGGGTCACGGCATTAAAAAGGTTGAGAACCACTGGTGTAAGACAGTGGTTTGGGAGTGTCCTTGGTAAATACGTGAATAAGCAAAATGTTTGAGGTTCCAAGTGACCTTGGTTCTGGCATTGCCTCTTCTATTTTCATTTTTCTCTCCCCCCCCCCACATTTTTGCAGGGGGCTCCGAAGCTCCAGGTGAGTTCAGATCTTCCCAGCCTTTTGTCTGCCGCAGGTGGTAACTGCCTCCCCTACGTCGTCCTTGAAGGTAAGAATTCAGCATAAAGGTGTGCCAAGGTTTGAACAGGGAAACCAGCACTCCAACTGTCCCAAAGGTGCTTTTTCAAAAAGCAACTGGACTTTCTTGTTTTTTTTTTTTTTTTTTTCTTTGAAGACCTTTTGCTGCAGAAGATTTTTTGGACTTTTTCTTTTTCAAAGAAAAATCAAAGGAAGTTCAGTTGCCTCGTGAAAAAAGCACCTTTGGGACAACCAGGACCTGGATATGGAGAATCTCCATAGACATTCACCAATTTCTCAGTCCCTTCTTTTTCCACCTATCATGGTGAATTCGGCACCAGTTATCCTTGCTAGATGCCCACCAAGGAATCAACAAGAATTTACAATAGGAAAATACTGCCCATTTGAAAAGGGATCAAGACCTGGTGTTTCAGTAAATTTTTGGGGACTGGAGGTATTTCACTCTGATCCCTCCTGCAGTAGTCTGTTGCAAGTCAGAGCTCCATACTTGGTGACAGGGAAACATGTAGAGTAGAGTAGAGTAGAGAAGAGTAGAGTAGAGTAGAATTAGAATTAGAATAGAATAGAATTAGAATAGAATAAAATAGAGTAGAGTAGAATAGAATAGAATAGAATAGAATAGAATAGAATAGAATAGAATAGAATAGAATAGAATAGAATATATGGAATGAAATGGAATAGAACAGAACAGAATAGAATAGAATAGATGGAATGGAATAGAGTAGAGTAGAAATAGACTAGACTAGACAAGACTAGACTAGACTAGAATAGACTAGAATAGAATAGAGTAGAATAGAATAGATGGAATGGAATAGAGTAGAGTAGAATAAAATGGAATGGAATAGAATAGAATAGAATAGAATAGAATAGAATATATGGAATGGAATGGAATAGAATAGAATATATGGAATGGAATAGAATAAAATGGAATAGAATAGAATGGAATAGAATAGAATATATGGAATAGAATAGAATAGAATAGAATATATGGAATGGAATAGAGTAGAGTAGAATAGAATAGAATAGAATAGAATAGAATAGAATAGATGGAATGGAATGGAATAGAGTAGAATAGAATAGAATAGAATAGAATAGAATAGAATAGAATAGAATAGAATAGAATAGATGGAATGGAATAGAGTAGAGTAGAATGGAATAGAATTGAATGGAATGGAATGGAATGGAATAAAATAGAATGGAATGGAATAAAATAGAATATATGGAATAGAGTAGAGTAGAATAGAATGGAATAGAATAGAGTAGAGTAGAATGGAATGGAATAGAATAGAATGGAATGGAATAGAATAGAATAGAATATATGGAATAGAATAGAATATATGGAATGGAATAAGTAGAGTAGAGTAGAATAGAATAGATGGAATGGAATAGAGTAGAGTAGAATGGAATAGAATGGAATGGAATAGAATAGAATAGAATAGAATAGAATAGAATAGAATAGAATATATGGAATAGAATAGAATGGAATAGAGTAGAGTGGAATGGAATGGAATAGAATAGAATAGAATAGAATAGAATAGAATAGAATAGAATAGAATAGAATAGAATAGAATAGAATAGAATAGAATAGAATAGAATGGGACCTTGGAGATCTTCTAGTCCAGCCCCCTGCTCAAGCAGGAGAACCTATCCGATACCATATCAAACAGGTGATTGTCTGAAAAGAAAGTTATCAGTTTACTATACAGTATATCTGCCCTGAAGCTGGGAGGCTCAGGAGTTGCTTTTTCCAAGCCGTCTTCTCTGTCTCTGTTTCATTTTTGGCTTCAGAGTACAGGAAGTCCTCAGTTTACAACAATTCATTTAGTGACTGTTCAGAGTAGCAACAGCACTGAAAAAAAGTGATTTAGGACCGTTTTTACACATTTAAGACCGCTGCGGCATCCCCATGGTCAGGTGAACAAAATTCGAATGCTTGACTCATATTTATGACGGCTGCAGTGTCCTGGTGTGTGTTGTGTGTGTGTGTGTGTCATGTGCTCCCCTTTTGGGACTTCTGACAAGCCAACTCAATGGGGGAAGCCAGATTCTCTTTACAACCGTGTTACTCATTTAACAACTGCAGTTATTCACTTAGGTCGTAAAACGGGCCCAAACTCACTGAACTGTCTCACTTAGCAACATCAGTGTGGGGCTCAATATTTATATGTTTATATGTTACTTATATGTAAGGGTGTAGGTCTCTACGTACGTTGTATATACTATGTTTAAATGTGTGTTTATGTGTGTGTGTACACTTTGAGAGCAAGCAACTAAATTTCATTTTTAATATGTTGCGCCGTTGTGCCCACAGTAAAAAAAATGACAACAACGATTATCTAATGTAATCTAATCTAATCTAATCTAATCTAATCTAATCTAATCTAATCTAATCTAATCTAATCTAATGAATTCTGGTCGTAAATTGAGGACTACCTATATTCCCCAGTATGGGAAAACATTACCCTTCCCCTACAGATACGAATAGATGGAAGTCTGGCATGTTTTGCTCTGAATGCATAAATCTACCTTTTCTTTTTGAACATTCCCAAATGTGGGATGCCACATTCTTGATCACACAGAATTGGGATTTTTCTTCCTATCGGTGTGGGGTGGGAGTGAGCACGTATATTCGGTCCATAGTTTGAAATCTGGTGTAGCAGAGCGTTTTGTAAAAAAAAAAAAACATTTTTAAGCTATATAGTTAGTCCTTAACTTGCAACAGTTTGTACTATAGTTACAACAGCATTGGGGAAAAAAGTGACTTATGACCAGTTTTTATAAGACCGTTGCAGCATCCTTGTGATCACGTGATTACAATTCGAGCTGTTGGCAACTGGCATGGATTTATGACTGTTGCACTGTCCCAGGGTCATGTGATTCCCCCTCTGTAATCTTCCCAACTGGCTTCCAACAAGCAAAGTCAATGGGGGACTGCTTCTAGGAGCACGAAGCCGAAAACTTCGTGCTTCCTAGAAGCACGAAGCCGAAAACACCAGCCTGAAGATGACGAATGAGACTTCGTCGAAACGTCGCCAAGACACTTCCAATTTGACGCAGGAGAAAACCCGAATAACCAAAGACCTACATACAAACACCCGCAAAAACCTCAGAATGTATGTATGTATGTATGTATGTATGTATGTATGTATGTATGTATGTATGTAGGTCTTTGGTTATTTGGGTTTTCTCCCGCATAAAATTGGAAGTGTCTTGGCGACGTTTCGACGAAGTCCCATTCGTCATCTTCAGGCTGGTGTTATATATATATATCATATCATATCATATCATATCATATATCCAGAGCTCTTAATACCACAATAAAATACTACAATAATTTGCTTGCTTAGAGCTATTTGTAGGTGCCACTTCTGTCTTAACGGATTCCAAGCAACATACAGACCCAACTGTTAAGGTTATAACAATACATAGATATTCATAATCTTAAATCCTCTGGCCACAGCTAAACAATTAAATCTCTATAAATACTTCCTTTGCAGGAGGGATCAGAGTGAAATACATCCAGTCCCCAAAGATTTACTGAAAAAGCTTGATCTCTTTCCAAACCCCGAAGCACGGGCTGATCTGATTTCCGGGGAGAGAACTAGCTATTTCAAAAAGAAGGGCAGTGGCTGGGAATTTAATGGTGCTCTCCTATCTTTAAAGTTTTATTTCTCTTCCCAATCCCAGTCCTTAACAACCTTTTTCGGCATTAAACCATAACTGTAGAACCTGCTCAAAATGCTTTTAGCCGAAGTCCTTTCACTTCCTTTGTCGTGGTTGATCACGCGACCGTAGTGGTCCTGTTTCCCTTATTGTGGTTTCCTGAAGATGGGAAAAAAAATCAAAGACAGATGTTCTTCTTTTCCACCTGTTCTCAAGAAACCCACCCACTTTCTAGAATGATGCAAACATTTGGGGATCAAAATGAGTGGTTCTTTTTTTAAAAAATTTTTTTTATTGATTTTCTTTTACATACATATGTTAATTTTTCAACCAACGAGCTGTCTGGGTTCAACAATGCTAATACAGATTCAATTCCTAATCCTTTATTCTTTCCTCTAGCCAACAATAAAATAAAGTCCCAAATTTGATAGTAATCTGTATCTTCTTTATCTTTCAGTCTCATAGTCAATCTAGCCATCTCTGCGCAGTCCAATATTTTTCTAATTATTTCTTCCTCTAGTGGTAGTCCTTCATTCTTCCAATATTGCGCAAAGATTATTCTCGCTGCTGTAGTGACGTGTAAAATCAAATATAGACTTTGCTTGTTAATCTTTTCAGGCATTATACCTAGTACAAAAAGTTCAGGTTTAAAATCAACATGTTCATCTAATATTTTTTCTAACCAAGTATGTATCTTTTTCCAGTGAGTGGTTCTGAGCTCACTGGAAGGGTGCTGGGTCCATTTCAAGCCACTTAAGGGTTTTCTGGACTTAAAATGGACCACGCTCAAGCCGATTGTAACAGTTTTGCCTGCCTGTCATTTAAGGGGTGGTCCAACCGGTGGAAGCAGCTCTCACCAGCCCATACCACAAGGAGCTGCAGGGAGTGATTGAGAGGCTGATCCTGAAGGAGCATCGATTGATCTGGAACAGCCTAGCCCGAAGCTGGTAAGCTACCTCTTGGAGAACAAACAACAGAATCAAACAATTCTGGGAGTTGGACCAATCACCAGGAGGTTATGAATTCTAGTCCCGTCTTAGGCATGAAAGGCAGTTAGGTAACTTTGAGCCAATCACCTGCAGGCTATGAATTCTAGTCCTGCCTTAAGCATGAAAGTCGGCGGGGTGATTTTGGGCCAATTGCTAAGAGGCTAGTTCTAGTCCCACCTTAGGCATGAAAGCCGGTTGGGTGACTTGGGCCAATCATCAAGAGGCTATGAGCTCTAGTCCCACCTTAAGCATGAAAGCCAGCTGATTGACTTTCAGCCAATCACCTGCAGGCTATGAATTCTAGTGCCGCTTTAGGTGTGAAAGCCGGCTGGTTGACTGTGAGCTAGTTCCTCTCTCTCAGCCCAACCCACTTCACAGAATTCTTGTGGGATAAATAGGAAGGAAGAGTACTAGATATATGCTCTGCCTTGAGTTATTTATAAAAATAATAAAGGTGGGGTGTAAAGAAGCAAATAAACTACATGAGAACCTGAAGTATTGGTCTACTGTGCATAATGCCTTCCCCTAATCAGGGGTAGGCAACCTTGGCTCCTTTTATGACTCGTGGACTTCAACTCCCAGAATTCCTGAGCCAGCCACGCTGAGGAGAAAGGGAGAGGTTTCCAAGCTGAGCCATGCTGTGCTCAGGAATTCTGGGAGTTGAAGTCCACCAGTCATAAAAGAGCCAAGGTTGCCTACCCCTTCCCTAACTGGTGCTCAGCCATGTGTTCCTATTGCAGCTATCTCTGGACAGGGTAAATCTGGACTCCTTTTATACATATAATTTTATTAATTTTTATAATCACAAGTGCTTAATATTTTATCAGCAACATATTGTCTGGGTTCCAGCATTTAACTTACTAATACATATTAAGTTCTTTTCTCTCTACCTTGTTTTTCTGGCCAATGATGAAAGGTATCCCATGTTCTAAAATAAACTGAGTCTTCTCTCTCTTTCATTTTCAGTGTCAATTGATCCATTTCTGCCCACTCGTTAGATTTTTTTAATTAACTCTTCCTCCGTTGGTAAACCTTCATTTTTTCCAATGTTGAGCGAATACAATTCTTGCTGCAGTTAATATAAGTAAAATTAGATATAGGCACCCTTTCTCGTAATTTCCTACAATTGTGCCTAACAAAAATAATTCCGGCTTGAAATCTGTATATTTTTTAATCATTTTCTCTAATCATGTATGTATTCTTAACCGGAATAATAATAACAACAACAAAAAACCAATAATATAACAACAACAACAACCTATCCCAGGTCCTTGGTAAGGACTCGATAGGTAGACAAAATGCCAAATCCAGTCTGAACATCTGGCTGACTGTGCGATGATCAATAATAATAATAATAATAATAATAATAAAAAAGTTGGAAGGGACCTTGGTGGTCATCAAGTCCAGCCCCCTGCTCAGGCAGGAAACCCTACACCATTTTGGACAAATGGCTGACCAGTCTCTTCCTAAAAACTTCCAGTGTTGGAGCATTCACCGCTTCTGGAGGCAGGTTGTTCCACTGGTTAATTGTTCTAACTGTCAGGAAGTTTCTCCTTAGTTCTAGGTTGCTTCTCTCTTTGGTTAGTTTCCATCCGTTGCTTCTTGTCCTGCCTTCAGGCACCTTGGAAAATAGCTTGACTCCCTCTTCTTTTTTGGCAGCCTCTGAGATATTGGAATACTGCTATCATGTCCCCCCTCATCCTTCTCTTCATTAAACTAGACATACCCAATTCCAGCAGCCGTTCCTTATATGTTTTAGCCTCCAGTCCCCTAATCATCTTTGTTGCTCTTCTCTGTACTCTTTCTAGAGTCTCAACATCTTTTTTACATCGTGGTGACCAAAACTGGATGCCGTATTCCAAGTGTGGCCTTACCAAGGCATTGTAAAGTGGTATTAACACTTCATGTGCTCTTGATTCTATCCCTCTGTTAATGCAGCCCAGCACTGTGTTGGCTTTTTTGGCAGCTGCCAGAACCTTCCTGATCAGGAGACCCTTGGTGGGCTTTCCTGCGGCCTTCCCTCCCATTGCTTTCCTGTCTTTGCAGGACCGACAGTGAGCGGGTGGTGCTGGAACAGCTGCACACCGTCCCTTTTGTCCTCACTTCCCCCACAGACCAAGCGGCCGGAGGGGTGAGTGTGGAACTGCCCCTCCAGGCGGTTGACCTGCCCCTGGAGACCGTCTACGAACGCTTCCAGCAGACCTCCCATGGCTTCAAAGACCTCCTCAGCCACTACCTGAGTGGGGAGAAGCCCAAGGGCTTCCTGGAGACGGAAGAGATGCTCCTGGTGGGCAGCAGCCTGACCGGCATTGGTGAGCTGACCCAGCGCCTGGATGGGACCCTCTGCCTGCAGCCTCCTTCGAATGGCGCGGGCTATTTCCTCTGCCTGGAGGATTGGCAGACCCTGCTGTCTGGTCTGCAGTCGGCCAGCAGCTTCTGGAAATGGACAGGCTTGCTGTGCAGCCTGGTGGCCGCGGTGGTGGTCCTGCGGGCCCTTCGCCGAGCGCACCGGAACCGCCGGCTGAATCGGGAGCGGGAGGCGCAGCAGCGGGAATTTGAAGACTACCTGCAGAATCACAACCCGGACGAAGACCTGCCCGCCAACGCCTGCGTGGTTTGCTTGAACAATCCACGCCAGTGTGTGGTGCTGCCCTGTGGCCACATCTGCTTGTGCTTCCAGTGTTTCCAGGCCTTGCCCAACCCTTCCTGCCCCATCTGCCGGGGCCTCATAGACCGTGTGGTCCCCCTCTATCAGGCCTAGGGAAGTGGCCTCCAACGCAGTCAGCTGCCCCTCGCTGGTTGTACTAGAGCAGTGTCTCAGTGGTGGCCACTTTTAAGAGGAGTGGACTGCAACTCCCAGAATTCCCCAGCCAGCCATGCTCGCTGGGGAATTCTGGGAGTTGACGTTGACCCGCCTTAAAAGTGGCCACGGTTGAGGCCCACTGTTAGAAACAAGCATCCCAGTTGTGGGTTGAAGGACATCCGATCTACCCTGAGGCTTGTGGGTCTCCCTGGGCACAGCCCCCAAGTTCTTACTCTTGGGAAGCATGTCCAAAGTTGATGTCTCAGCAAAGGCGGCCTTGATCACCCTTCCAGCTTCGCTGTGCTGGAAGAGATATTAAAGCAGGGGTCTTCAAACTTGGCCCTTTTCTGACTTGTGGACTTCAACTCCCAGAATTCCTCAGCCAGGCACACGCGTGCCTGGCTGAGGAATTCTGAGAGTTGAAGTCCACAAGTCATAAAAGGGCCAAGTTTGAAGACCCCTGTATTAAAGAGTCCTTCTGATTGCTCTCCTATGGTGCTGAGACCCCAATCCCAGAATTTGGGAGGAATTCTGGAACTTGTAATCCAAACACATTTGGAAAGCATGGTTTTGGGAAAGGCTGAATTCATCTATTGCACGGGGAATTACCAAGTCCCTAAGCCTGCCTTGCTGGATTGCAAACTTAAAGCAATAATCGCTATACAAATAGAGCATCTTATCTAAACGGTAGTCGCTGGGTTTTTTAATTTTTATTAGAACTCAGTTGTTTACAAACCACACTGGGCAGCCTTTGCTTCAGGATTTGAACTCTTGAATGCCAGGGTAGAGGGATACAGGACATTAAATAACCAAGCCAATTTTGGGTTTCCATTGACAACGTTGGCCGCCTTGACCGTATCTTTTTAGACATTGTCGGCTTCTGGAACCTTCCAAATCACCTGCTTCTGGGTGGCGCTGAAGCTAGAGGTTCTAGCTATGAGTTTAGACTTCAAATCGGCACGAAGCTGGCTGTGTTGGATTACCTACCTTAATTTAGAATACTGTTTCTCAACCTCAGCGACTGTAAGGGGAATTCTGGGAGTTGACGTCCACAGATCGTAAAAGCTGCCATTTTAAATCCACACATCTGAAACACTGTGAAGTCCACACATCTTAAACTGAGTAGGGACTAGAGATTTCACTGGCATACAAATAGGCCCAGGAGCCAAGATGGGGATTCACAATAAATCAAACGCCTTGGTGCGTGGACATTTTTTAGCCGATACCAGCAAATAACTGTCCGGAGGACTAAGCCCTCAACTTTGCCGAGAACGGTTCCTTTCACGTCGGACCTTTACCGAATGGCAGATGGTGTCTAATCATACAAGATTGTGATTGATGTTAATGGCTGGTTCTGCGCTCATTTTGGAACGGCTGAGATCTCGCCTCTTGGCATATGGGTTTCGGAGGTAGAAGGCCGATCCCAGAGGGGGTGACCACCAAGAAAGCGATCTAGCGTGTTCGGCTGATGGCTTCCTTGACAAGCAAGCTGCTGGCCAACCCTAATTTCGTTATCGTCAAGTTTGGGATGAGCTGCGGACGCCGTCATTCGTGGTTTGCCCAGTCAAGTGACTCTATGCACTGCCTTTGTACGCCGAACCGAGCGTTGGATGGTGTTTAGCAGTTCTGCACACCAGGAATGTGAAATCAGGAATTATTGATAAATTGGCAAATCCATCAAGGCTTGTCTTGTCTCTTTTCATTTAAAGACTAATAGAGCAGAGTTTGAATAGGGGAGGAAGGATGAAGAGGAAATCCTAAAGAGCTGCTGCTTATTTTGGGGGGATGTTAAAAATAAGTCACGTGAGGGTTGGAGAAGAAAAGAGCAAGGTTGGTCCTTCCAGATGTGCCCGGCTTTAGAATGGACTTCTGCTCTGTTGAAAGTTCAAGATTCAAAGCAGGTGGGAATTGCTGTGGAAAAGCAAAGGGTAAGGCGAGGAGACTGTCATGAGGACATCATGATTTTAACCAATTTAGTGTAGTAGTTAAGGCACCAGGCTAGAAACCAAGAGACACTGGGGTGTTCCATTCTGCCTTAGGCATGAAAGCCAGCAGGGTGACTTTGGGCCAATCACCAGGAGACTGTGAGATCTAGTCTCACCTCAGGCACAAAGCCAACTGGGTGACTCAGCCAATCATCAGCAGACTCTGAGTTCTAGTCCCGGCCTTAGGCATGAAAGCCACCTGGGTGACTTTGGACCAATCGCCAGCAGACCAAGGGTTCTGGTCCTGCCTTATGCACAAAGCCAACTGGATGACTTTGGGCCAGTCATGAGGAAAGCAATTTTAGTCCCACTTCAGGGACAAAGCTAACTGCGTGACTGGGCCGGTCGCCAGGAGGCTGTGTATTCTAGTCCTGCCTTAGGCATTAAAGCTGGCTGAGTGACATTCGGCTAATCGTGAGGAGGCTGTGAGTTTTAGTCCCGCCTTAGACATTAAAGCTGGCTGACATTGGGCTAATCAAGAGGCTGTGAGTTTTAGTCCCGCCTTAGACGTTAAAGCTGGCTGACATTGGGCTAATCAAGAGGAGGCTGTGAATTCTAGTCCCGCCTTAGGCACAAAGCCAACTAGCTGACCTTCGGTCAGTCATTTTCTCTTAGCCCTAGGAAAGAGGCAGTGGTAATTGAAATAGCCTTCTTAAGAAAACTGCAAGGATTTATCAAGGTAGTTGCCAGGAGTCAATACTGGGTTGAAGTCAAAAAATGGAAGAAGAGATGGAGGAGACTTGAGCTTTCCCCAGTGCTAATGCTTCCAGGTGTTTATATAACAGAATGAAATAAAACTGAATAAACTAGCAGCCCTGGGGCCTGTCCCCCTCCATCACCACCCATGATGGTGTATAAAAGGAGCACAAGAAAGCAGATAAAATTATCACTCTGGTGTACCTCAGGCCTGAATAACTGGTAAAGGGTGAAAAACCCAGATTTATACATTAAAAATTATTGCAGGCCACCGAGGAGTACCTGGCCTGTGAACCAGCTATTTGGCAGCAAACCGAGTAGCAACAGGTGGTGTGGTGGTAAAGCTAGTGTTATACAACAGCATGGGGGTTTTTCAGCGGGGAGGGGGCTGCTGGCAGCTGCGAATGTATTTTTCAAAAAAGGGCCAGCAGGCCGCACAAAGCTGCTTTGGCAAGCCGCACACTCGTTCTGCAAACTCTGTTGTGCAGGCCTGCTCCTTATGCTTAAATCACTGCACAAATCACAGTTGGCTAAGCTAAAGCTACTTCTCCTGTTACGGAAACTTTTGAGCACTGAGCAGGTCAGGTTAGATTTGTAAAATCTTTGGGTAAAAGTGGTCCTCGGGGTCAAAGCACAACTGAACCCAATATTTTTTGTTGCGAAGCGAGAGCGACGTCGTGAGTTTGGCCCCTGTTTTACGACTTTTCTTGTCACAGTTGTTAAGTGAATCACCACGTCGTGGTTCCGACAGATGAAACTCTTCAAAAGAACTTCGAGGCATTGTTTACCTTAAAGAATCTTTTATTCGAGAAACAGAGTATCGGCACTACATAGTCAAGCCAAAAACTGAATTCCCCTCCCCTGGGCACAAAGTAAGCAAAGCACAATTCCCTCCTCCAATTAACGGTCATAAATCACATTCCCCAATTAGCTTGAAGAATTCCCTCCTCCAATAAACAGTCATAAATCACATTCCCCAATTAGCTTGAAGTGCAGGCTTTGTCCCCAGCTCTCCAGCCTTGCCAAAACGCTATCAACTCTGGGCCCAATGACCTTGGGTTCCCACAGCTGAGTTATTATTGTTATGACTAGCTGGACTCTCATCCACATTCCCCCTCCCAGCATCAACTAACTCTAGAAGCAATAGAGAAAAATGGCTGCATTTCCATCTGTTGTCAAAGCACGAACCTCCGATGTTAGCAGCATTGACACACCACAGATATTAAGCTAAGATGTTTAAGTAAGTAGCCGCAGTAAGTAACCAATATTAAGTAAGCAACACGGTTGTAAAGAAAATCTGGCTTCCCCCTTGTCTTTGCTTGTCAGTAAGGTCACAGAATACGATCACATGACCCTGGGACCATCAAAAATATGAGTCAGTTGCCAAATGTCTGGATTTTGATCCCCTGACCACGAGGATGCTGCTGCCATGGTCCTAAATAATGAAAAACAATTACGTCCCTTTTTTTCAGTGCCGGTGTAACGTCAAACAGCCACTAAACGAATGGTTGTAACTCATGGACTACCTATAGTTGAGAGACAATATGGATTTTTCACTCAGCAAGTAAAGCCCTTGTCCATTAACAACTCAAAACACTGAACCGACTCTGGTCATGTCTCAATCATATCTCCTATAAACTTCCAAGGGCAATACAGGTAGTCCTCAACTTACGACCACACCATTGAGCCCAAAATTTATGTCGTTAAGTGAGGAATGTTTTAAGTGAACTTGGCCCCCTTTTGTGACTTTTCTTGCCACAGCTGTTAAGTGAATCGGTGCGGTTGTTAAATTAGTCACACGGTCGTTAAGTGAATCTGGCTTCCCCATGGATTTGGCTTGTCCGAAGGTCGTAAAAGGGGAAATCACACGACACCGGGACCAGTGGTGGGATTCAGCCAGTTTGTAACCACTTCAGCAGAACCGGTAGCTAATTTTTTGTTGCCCAGGCCCAGAATGGACTTCCGGAAGCGGCATCCACGCAGAGAACCGGTTGTTCACGTCTTTGAATCCCACCACTGCCCGGGATACCGCAAGCTTCACAAATACAGGCCAGTTGCCAAATGTCTGAATTTTGATCACGTGACCCTGGGGGGGATGCTGCAACAGCCCTATGTGTGCAAAACGGGCGTAAGTCACTTTTTTGGCAGTGCCGTTGTAACTCTGAACAGTCACTAAACAAACGGTTGGAAGCCAAGGACTTACCTGCACCAACCAACCTGGAAAAAAGAATTTGGGCAATTGCAACCGCAGAGATTTTCCTGCCCAGCCACTGAGCTTTGTACTGGTGGGGAGGATGGTGGGGGGGGGGGAGAAAAACACCGCTTAATGTTTATTTGATGTTTCATTCACTTTGGGGACCTAATTTAGCCCTTTAAGGCAACCAGAGGAAAGATTAAGCAGCGTTATGCAGCAGGCTTTGATGGTGATGTTACCAAAAAAAAAGAAAAAAAAGAAAGAAAGAAAAAGCCGGCAAAATGGAAAGCAGTTTGAAGGAGCCGGTGACTCAGCTTTCCGGTGGGTGGGAACTGCTGCCCCCGGCTAGCTATAAACCAAGCATCCAGCGCAGAGTTGACTCAGCATTTAACCCATCTTGGTTTCAGCAAAAGAACAACCCCCTCCGTTCTTCCTCCCGTCTGCAGCTTTGCACAGACAGTTAAGATTTCCACGATGGCAAAGTCAGCTTTCATTTCATTATTCTAGTCTACGCACATTTCGGAAAAACGTCTCCTATTTGTGCACACGCAACCCAGGGGCCAGACCTCAAAAAGATTTTCCCCAGCGCTGATCGTCGTTAAGACGGCGTTCCCACAAGACGCTTCACTTGATTTGCAGAATTAACCCATTTTCCGAGTTGCATGTACAGTTTGACGTACGTACTAAGTGCACTGCATTCCTAAAGAGACAGATCAACACAGATAATAGACAGCCAGTCCCTTTACTTCTGAATGCTGACCTTCGGATCAGAGGCAGCACATTCCAGCAAACTCAATTATTTCCTTCCTATTTTGATGGGGAGCATGGTTGAAGGAGGAAGGGCGGGGGGGGGGTGTCAGCAAATTTTGGCTCTACCAAGCACCCCACCAGCAGCGGCTTTGGTGGGAAAAGATACCTTGGGGAATTAAGAAAGTCCATGGATATGGGAATCACATTCAGTGATTCACAACTGATGGACAGGGCAGAACAGAACACCTGGATTGGAACAGCATATCTTCAAAGCTCACCTAAGCTCCTGTGGGAAGTCAGCCCCCCAGAGAAGGAAATATTAAAAGGGCAGAAAAATGTATTTCCTCAAAGGATCTTAAAGAGGCGGGAAAGTGTGCCCCAAGTCTCCCTCCCCCAAGCAAAAACCACCTCTGTAGAAATGCAGATGTAAATCCAGGAAGGCTGGATGCCCCCAGCTGGAAGATTAAAGACAAAGACACCTAAAATCTACATACCCCACCCAAAGTCAAAGACAGGACATAATAGGATTAACTCACAGATGCCAAAGAGCACACCCAGATTCAGGTCAGAATACATGACAAGGAAATACAAAGCCTCAAACAGGAACAGGAAACAACTCCAAACAAAAGGTTCCAGAGCAGACATTTCAAACTCGCGACGTCACGTGACGTTGCGCAACGTATCGGAGCTTTTTTGCCATTGCTGGCAATGGGGTGGGCGTGGCTCCGATATGATGAAACTGGCCCGCAGGACGGCAGTTTGACACCCCTGCTCCAGAGGGTATAAAAACCCACTCCCTACATGTGCTCGCTCTCTTTTCTTCCAGAGCCATCTTTCTGTCTGGCTCTCCTCTTCAATAAACTGCAACCTTCTTTCTAAAGCAGTCGCCATGTTGTTTATCCCCGCCTTGGACTGAACACTCCCTAACCCCACTAAAAGTGTAGCAGAGGTTTCCTGCAGTTTCTTTCTGGGGTAGATTTGGGAGAAAGGAGCTGATGCAGTCTTTTCAGCACAACAAACATTTGCAAATGCATAAGTCCTTTGGAGGCTAAA